AAATCTCTGCACAATGCTTCCAAAATATAATTTTGAATATCACATTTTGAGTAGACAATCTGTGAGAAAAAAGCCAGATTTATCTCGGATTTATATCATTAGAGTAATCCAAAGTTGGCTGAACAATAAAAATGTGTAAATTTGAAGTCAATAGCTTAATTAAATGAGTGGGTTACTCCAAAGTTCAAACAGTCTTGATACATGAGACTTGATTTATTTATGATCACCCCCGCGGTGGACAAGCGGACATCCATGGCATGGATCGGGGTGATCCGAGCGGTCATATTGGCCAGATTTATGAATCATTAAAATACCAAAATGAAATTATACTGGCACACATACAGCCAACATGTGTCTAAACAAATAACGACACATTGGAAAAGGTAACAAATAATAAACATAAATTAGTGAACTAAAAAAATGAGAGAGAAAAAAAGAAACGCTGAAAACAGCATTCAGGTTTATAAATTCGGATTTTTTTTTGTTGGAATGGATGCTAGCGGGGAATCAAGGTTGCCAAATTACGTCAACAGCATCATGATAGAGAACTAAAAATACAAAAAAGAAAACACAAGAAAAAATAGTAGAAAAAGAATTCTCGCAAATCAAAGGCGACGTTCTCGTCTCGACTAAAAAAAAAAAGCGAAGCGAAAAGCGAAATTAATTAAATAAAAAGCCTCAACATTTCCGCACTGCATTGCCAAAAAGGTAGCCAACTATCTCTCCACTGGCAGCATCCCTGGGAACCCTGACCAAACAAATCCCATGCACACTTTTCCAGGTCTCGCAACGCGTCGGGGAAGGCGCAGAGGGAGGGGCGGGGGAGAGTAGTCGCGATGACGTCGGGGGCAGCGAGAAACAAACGATTGTGTTTGCCAGTTCTAAATATAAAAGTCAAAGGCACCAAATTTTATGGTATACCCTGGACTCAGTGAGAAGGGTATACGGAAATAAGAGATAAATCAGAAATATGCGAGTGAGGCCAGATATAGATATGTCTATAAATATAGAAACACTAAAAACTAAAGAATATTATTTATATGAGTGAATAGATAGGGTTTATTAGACTTTATCGATAACCTGCATTACTTATCGATACTCGATACTTTCGATTGCAATTAAAAGCAAACATTTTGGAGATGTAGCCGTTCATAATATTCTTCAGCTGTTGAAATTTCATTGAGATCAGTGTGGAACCACAGAAATTTGCTAAAGAAAGCAAAATTCAGATTATCTCTGACTGATCAAATACAGGGTAGCTTCTAAAGAATTAAATCTTTGCTTTCCGATTGAATATGAATGATAAAAGTAGAGTGAATCTTCTATTCAAAAGAATATTTTCATTTTTTTTTTGTTGGTAAAAATACAGGGTAGCTTTTAGCCAATAGCTTCTTTACTTTTGATTCCTTGTTGCTTTTGGTGAATAGGGTATCTTCTAGCCAATTAACTGTATGTTTTTCGACGCTATTTTTTTTTGTATTTATTTTTTTTTTGGGCGCAGGAAATTCCAAGCACATTGGCGGCCAGTGCTCGATGGACTTGGACTCTTGTTGACCGACGCCTCGTATGAACTCGTCGAGATCTCTATGTAAATATGTGTGTGAACATTTGATCGGTAAGTACATAAAAGCTGTGAGGGTGTGTGTGTTGTGTGTGGCTGACCTTGCCTCAGGCGCCAAAGGTGAAAACGCAATCTGTGTGGCCCAAAGAAACCAAACCAAACGAGATTTACACTCACGTGGGTGTTCGGATCGGCATACAAACATATAAACACAAATATATACACACATAAAGCTAGGCCGGCCTTTCGCCTATAAATATGCTCTGTTTATGCCACACAATAAAATGTTTTTATATTGGCCAAATTCGATGCATTTGATCAACTGTGGTTGATCATCTAAAAGACTAGCTAATTTTTACACTTGAATTCAAAGCTGTGAAATATGAATGTAAAGTTCTTTAATGGAAATTCGAACTTTTAATCGCAAACTTTGAATAACAAAGTTTATTGCCAATGAATTGATTTTAAAAAAAAAACAACCAAATCACTTCTCAAATACATTTTTATTAACATATTAAAAAAGAAACCCAAAAAAATACATTTATTCATAAATTTTTACGCGTATATATTGGGAAAGTCTCAAGACTCTGCTGCTTAGCTCAATCAGAGAAGAGACAGAGAGAGAGAGAGAGAGAGAGAGAGAGAGAAAGGGAGAGGGAGGGAGAATGCCAGCTGGAAAGTTCTCCCTTTGTCGTCGTGCACAAAAACAACGCACACTAATTGAAATTTTATTAGTTGCCACTTGGAGATTAGAATCAGTTTGCTGATTGAAAACGAGAGCTTGCTATACACTCACACTCACACTCACACTCACACTCACACTCATACTCATACTCACTCTCATACTCATACTGATAGTCGTACTCGTACTCATTATACTCAGAGTCGCAATGAACGATGAACTCATTGATGAGCGGTCGACGTTTGAGGAGGTTGTCATGCGAGCAGCCAAGAGGTGCTAACAACTGCCATCTATTATCTATTTGCCACAGAAACCATTTATCTGAATCTGGAATCGTGGAGTGAAGTGGAGTGGAAGAAGGCAACCCGTTAGAGTTGCCCTCGCTGCATACGTGTGGGCGAACGTAGCTGGGGGGTGGGCAGATCCAGCTGTTTCGTCATAAACACAAACAGCGCAAGAGGACTGACTGTGTGGCACTCAAAAGATACACAGATACACAGATACCCAGATACAGTTACAGATACATACTGTGACCAATTGAAATTCGTTTGGCGGCAATTCCAATAAGTGCATTTAATGGCTGGCCTGCAAACGCTGCTTGAGCGACAGTTCCCATAAACATTTTCCATTTTTTACATTCATTACTGCATTCAATATAACAATATTTCAAGCACTTTCGTAACTTTGTTTACATTTTTTATTTCAAGTGATTGAAATATGTTTATTGTGTGTGTGTTGTGTGTAAAATGTCGTCCTCTCGTAATTGCCGTTTTAATGGTTTTTTTTTTTTTTGTCGTGTTTGTTTTTTATTTTCGTTCCCATTTTCCAGTTTGAGATCTGATCAAACAAATTTCCCTCTTCGACGCCCACGAGTTTGTCGCATTTTCTTTAATATCGCTTATAATCCGTTTGTCGGGGACGGGCCAAAATTAATGGCACTAGCCAAATTTCACTGCCTCTTGTCACATTTAGGCATATTTCTCGTTTTTCATCTTGTGTTTTTATGCTGCATTCAATTTAAGAATTAGCTTCATAATTAGTTACAAATTAAAATTCTAAATGTGGTGCTCAAGATTTCGCGGGATTTGCCGAGTGACAGAGTGAGATCATTAATCTATTGACCGAAAAAAAAAAATAAATAAGAAAAAATAAATGTTTGCATATAATTTGCGTCTCTTCTTTGAGTGGTTTTGCTTGATGTGTTCATTTGTCTCGAGTGTGTGTTATCAGTTTAGCTACTGGAATTCCACTTTTATCTTCCTTCGCATTATATTATCATTCTTTACCTACATAATACGACGAAGAGACGACTTTTAGCAGAAGTAAACAATTTTCCCACGCTACAACACCTGTTGTCGCATTCGAAATGTCCAACAATTTTTCATTGACTTTTTGTGCAGTTGATTTTTTTTGATTCACATTGAGCACTTGTTGATCGATTGATTGACTTGTTAGATGCACTCTTTGCACCGTTATCGATTTACACGTTGTCACTATGTTTTTTTCTTTTTATTTATTTTGAATTTTGATTTTGATTGCACTTTGTTCAAACTGTTGTTGTCTCATATATATTTTAGTGTTATTTATTTCTCAATACGAACGGCAGCCGATAGAAACGCGCGCGTTGCGTCGTGTCTAAGCAAAAGCGTCGCAAACGACTGAAATAGAACTTGGCGCTTGTGCACTCTAACGGAACATGAAATGGAACTACAAACGCAGCGTCAATGGAGCTTCATTAAAAACAACAAACGCAATGCGGCTCTCTCTCTCACGAGCGACGCGCGCATAAGAGAGAGATAGAGAGAGAGAGAGTGAAGAGAGAGAATAAACAAACGAAAAGTGGCTCATTCATTTGTTTCGTTTTTGCGGTGTGTCGTCCTCATCTATCGCTCGGTCAGCGTCGCTGCCAGCGTTCGTCTGGCTGCGGTTGCTGCATGTCGTGATGATGAGGTTGTGACGACAACGCCGCTGCTACAGCGACAGCAACACAACCGCAAAGCGAAAGCCGCAAGTGGGAGGCAAAAGGAGGAATTAAAAGCAAGACGGACAAACAAAGATTGTGAAGCGATCTACGCTCACAGTGGTCTTTAAAGCATCAACTAAAAATAATATGCAATCATTTTTGTGTCTCTTATATTTTTTGTTAAAGGTTTCTATTTCCTTAGTGACCAATTTTTTGAAAATCTTGTTGATCGAAAACATTTTTTCCACTGTGCTGAGTGACAATGCTCTCAAAATGCAACAAGATGAGAGACATCAACACCTTTGGTGCACACGCAACCCGACTCCGATTCCGGATGTTGCGTGCAGCAAGTGGGCAGCCTCTCCTAGTAATCAATAAAGTGGGTACACTCACTTACTCTATATAAAATACAAGCGCTTTCAAGCTTATGGAATGTGAGTGCTTTCATTTTGCGCAGAAGTGCACCACTGTGCGTGGGCAGAGTGCAGTCAGCTGCGCTTCAACTTTAAAGTTCGGTGAAGTGCTGTCAACTTGCTCGCTTTTCCACACTGTGAGCATGAGTGGCCTTTAGTCAACTCTTAGGAATGTCTCCACTCGCGTATGTGTGAGTATGTGTGCCTGGGTGTATGTGCGTTTATCAAAAGACATTAACAAAAAGCGCAACAGGCAGCAACAGCCGAGAAATTGTGTCATAAAGAAAATAAAGCACAATAAAGGCAGAATAACAGAAGATGACGATGACGATACTCACAATTCTGCTGATGATGACTAAAATTGTGTATATGTGTTTTCTGTGTGTGTTTGGAAAAAAAAGCAAAACAAATAAGCAAACAGAGTTATGTGCTGGGTCAACCTAACAATGCCAGATCATGAACAATACCAAAGTACATGACAAAGCCTAGCTTCGAAACTAAACTTGTTGAAATGTCAACGTGTAAATGATTGAAACGTCGACAGCGCAACACTGCTGCTCTGAGTTCAAAAAATCGCCAGGAATGCAAAGGCAAAGATGCAAAGTATTCGTGAACTTCGATAAGATTTGGGCAGTGAATAACACTCTTTCATGTTGTATATACATTTATAATCGTACTTATCTCTAGATAAGGAGGCAACTGGATTTAAAAAAAAAAAAAAACAGATAAGAGAGATGCATGAGTCTTACTCAAATTCAAAAATTATTAATCGCCATCTACCGGGAGCTGTCTGCAACTATAAACGTGGAATGCTAATTAGCTATGTATGCTCATGCTGCTGAAATCGTGAGTCGACCTTGAAGCAGCATAAAAAACATATTGATGACTAGCACCCTGTGCCAAATACGAGGTGCCACGCCAACAGGAAGTGTATGTGTTTTTTTTTTGTGCACTCACCTAAATCATCCATTGCGCCGTTTCCTTTGACTTGCTGTTGTTATACTTTAGGCAAATGTACAACTCTGTGTGTGTGGTGAATTCTCCAATTGTGTTAGACAAAACAATACGTCAATTTTCACAAGTGCTGCCACGCCTTATTATCAATCATATATATATATATATATAAATATAAATATATACTCTGTATATTTTCAGTTGGAATGCTTGAAGTCAGACAGAAAGGTAGTTAATTGACTTTAGGTTTTTAATCCACGCAAACATTTTTTTTCCTGTGCGGCGACAACAACAACAAGAAAAGCACAGCAGTTTTTTAGAGTCAACGACGACTGGTCGCCGTTTTTTATCCGTCGGGTTCGCGCTTGGAATTGAAAATAATTTTGCTGAAACGGCAGTGAACGCTGCTCGCGAGTGTGTCGCGTAAGTTGGAGACGAGTTTTATATGATTCACTTTAATTTTGGAGCGGCATCGGACCACAGACACGCAGACAGTAGCGCCGACATAAACAATACACACAATACACACAATACACACACACACTCACACATGCAAGCAAACGCGCGAACAGCTGTCTGACTATCGATAAATTCCGCGCCATTTTCAAAGAGTTTTTCTTTATCGTTTCAGTTACGATTAGCAATGGAAGTGGAAACGACTTCGTTATTAATTCTAAATGACGATTGTTTGGACAATATATTTGTGTATTTTACACTGGACGAACTGATGCTGTTATTTGGAAGTCTTCACTCGCTCATCGATGCAGCAGTCGAACGACAACTGCACAGATTTCGTCACTTTGAGTTCAGCATGCGCTTCCCACCTCAATATAATGAGATTCAACTGCAAGCACTCGGTCGACACTTGCAAAGTCTCAGCGTAAACGTGGGATATTCCGTTCGGTCCAATAGCAGTGTGATCGGCCAGATGCTGCATCCGTTGCTTGTGGGAGCGGCTGCTGGGGAAGGCGGTCGACTAAGAGCCCTGAAAATACAACACACCTACATTAATAGCAGCTACATAAAGCTGATCTCGCTGGTGGTTCACTGCTTGTCTGAATTGGATCTCAGTCGGTGCGACGTCGATGATACAAATGAATTTATGCTGCTTTTGCGATCGGCAACAAAATTGAAAGCACTGGCTTTATACAACGAGCACGCAGCTGTTCTGGAAGAATCGTTGCTCAGTCGCCTGCAACTCTTAAAAATTAATTGGATGGTGGGAACACAATTGTTTGACGTCGCTGCACTAAACCAAAAATATCCATTTTTGAGTATCGTTGTTTACCAGGCTAATCAAGTGGATGTATACGGACCACCTGCTGTCGGCAAAATTGCATATTTCCGTGATATTTGAAATAAAATCAGTTTCTGCAAACAATTAATAGATGATGGTGGGTGGTTAAAAGCATTAAAGAAACGCAACTCTGCATTCGATAATAGCAGCTGCATTTTTGAGCAACAGCTGTTATGTTATGCGGCCAGCATCTGTTAATTTCAATTTAAAACGTCAATGACCGTTAGCCAACCATTGATAAAACTTGTTAAGCAATAAACTCATTCAAATAATAGTTGAGATATTATTAATGCGTTAATTAATACGCTATTAATAATAATAATATTTAAAAAATATTTAGCATACATTTTCTTAAATTTACTTTAAATATAACATAAAATAAAGTACCTTTGAGGTTAATGTGATGGACAATAGTTATTCTAAAAAAAATATAAATAGGGTCGCGAAAGCGATCCAACGATGTTTAAGGAAAGCTCCGATGATTGAAATAAATTTAAAAACATCGTTATATCGATATTTTCACTAATTTGCTGCAACCCTAAGTGCGTCTTCAATTTAGAATCGTTCCTGTTCCGGTAAATGCAACCAGCTTTGTGTGGATGTGCATCTAAAGAATTCTCCAATTGTGCTAGGCGAAATTAGTCACTGACTTTTCATAAGTGCTGTCACGCCTTTGACACACATTTATTGGCTATATATGTATACATATATATATACATATATATATATATATATATATATATACATATAAATATATATACACATATATATATATATATATACTAGTCTCAGACTTTTCATAAGTGCTGTCACGCCTCGGACACAAATTCATTGACTATATGTATACATACAATATATATATAAATATTTATACATATATATAAGCGCGTAGATTGACTATCGATACCTAATCGCCACTTTAATAGTTTTCATCCTCGTTTCAGTTAACTGTCACAATGGCAACAGAAAGGATTTCATTATTAATACTAAACGACACTTGTCTGGACAAAATATTTGTGTATTTTACACTGGACGAACTGATGCTGTTATTTGGAAGTGTTCACTCTCATATCGATAAGGCCGTCGAACGACAGCTGCGCAGATTTGATCACTTAAAGCTCGACAATTTCTCCCTCACTCAACTTAATGGAAATCAACTTAATGCGCTCGGCAGACACTTGCAAACTCTTATCGTAAACGATCATCACTTAGGCGATATTTTGCATTCACTGTGTGAGGGAGCGATGGAAGGCGGTAGACTGAGATCTTTGGTAATTAATTGTTCGGTGATAGATTACGAATATTTAGAGATTTTCTCTCGGGTGGCTCCCCTCTTGGTAGAATTGTCTATCGGCCATACCATCTCGTGTGATAGAAATAAATTTCAGCTGTTCTTGCGATCGGCAACGAATTTGGAAAAACTAGACGTGAGTGGAGAATATGCAGATCTTCTGGAAGAAAAGATGCTCAGTCGCCTGAATAACTTGAAAATAAAAAAGAGAGTTCGATGAGGCTGCTGCCAGGGGGAATTGGCCACTTTTGAGAATTGAGGACGGATACAGCTTAACTAATTGCATGAAAAGTGGTAACACTATATTATCTATATATTATATATTATCTTATAAGAACGCAACTATTATTTTTGTATAAACTATTATTTTTATTAACTGAAACCTGGTGCCGGAATAAATTAATATGTTATATATATTACAAAAATTGCAGGCTTTGTCTTATTGTTGCCGTTAAGCTGATTAATTAAATTTGACACACATCGATAACCAAACTTGCACAATGGCAACGGAAAATATTTCGTTATTAATTCTGAGCGACGATTGTCTGGACAATATATTTATATATATACACTGGATGAACTGATGCAGTTATGTGGAAGTCTTCACACAAGGATCCGAAATAAATTGCAACAGTATAAATTTGATATCGATGGTGGCCCAGTTCTTGATCGAATTGGGTATCTGTTCGTGCAACGTGATGGATATAAATGAATTCCAGCTGCTCTTAAGATCGGCAAAGCAGTTGAAAACACTGGCTTTGTACGACAAGCATGCAGCTAGTCTGGAAGAATCGTTTTTCAGTCGCCTTAAAATTTTAAAAATTTGTAAATTGAATTATTTTATGCCGATAACACAATGGTTGGACGTCACTACAGTTTAGTTGTAAAGGTTTTACTATATGGACCCCGCGTGCAGAGGTATTCTGTATCCAAAGGCATAATTGAAATCAGTCTCTGAAAAGTTGTAACTGCTCTTCAATTATACAAAATGCTGCTGGTTGCTTAATAACATTAACAACGCAGCCCTGCATTCACTAATAAATGCATTTTAAGCTGTTAATGACAAATTCAGACAATTTGCATTTAATGATTGTTTAGACTCTTTTAACCAAATATTAGTTGAGATGTTTTGTATATTTTGCAAAAGTCAAATAGTGAGCCGCTGTTAATAACATTGCAGTAAGTTAATTTTTTGAGGTGCCCACAGCACAACAGCATGAACAGCTGTTCATGAGTCATTAATGCCGGCATTGCAAATTCTAACGAAATAGTTTGTATTTATTAGCTCAGCGAAATAGGCTTGATATACAGACAACAAAGAGAAATAATACGAACTGCACAAAATGGTGGTGCGGCCCTACAGCGAGGAGCTGAAATATCTGGAGAAGATCAATGATCACTGCTGGCGCATCAAGAAGGGCTTTCAGCCCAACATGAATGTGGAGGGCGTCTTCTATGTGAACAGCCGCCTGGAGCAGCTCATTCTAGACGAGCTAAAGAACTCGTGCCGTCCCGGCGCCATTGGTGGATTTCTGCCGGGCGTCAAGCAGATTGCCAATGTGGCTGCATTGCCGGGCATTGTTGGCCGCTCGATTGGATTGCCCGATATTCACTCGGGCTATGGCTTTGCCATTGGCAACATGGCTGCCTTTGATATGGATGATCCGCTGTCGGTTGTCAGTCCCGGTGGCGTTGGATTTGACATCAATTGTGGTGTGCGACTGCTGCGCACCAATCTCTATGAAAAGGATGTGCAGCCGATAAAGGAGCAACTGGCTCAATCGCTATTCGATCATATACCCGTGGGCGTTGGCTCCAAGGGCGTAATACCGATGAATGCTCGTGATCTGGAGGAAGCTCTCGAAATGGGCATGGATTGGTCATTGCGCGAGGGCTATGCATGGGCCGAGGACAAGGAGCATTGCGAGGAATATGGCCGTATGCTGAGCGCCGATCCGGGCAAAGTTAGCATGCGTGCAAAGAAACGCGGTCTGCCCCAGCTGGGCACTTTGGGCGCCGGCAATCACTATGCCGAGATACAGGTGGTGGACGAGATCTATGACAAGTGGAGCGCCTCCAAGATGGGCATTGAGGAGAAGGGCCAGGTCGTTGTCATGATACACTCGGGCAGTCGCGGCTTTGGCCATCAGGTGGCCACCGATGCGCTCGTCGAGATGGAGAAGGCCATGAAGCGCGACCAGATCGAGACGAACGATCGCCAATTGGCATGCGCCCGCATCAATTCTGTTGAGGGACAGAACTATCTCAAGGCAATGGCAGCAGCGGCCAATTTCGCTTGGGTCAATCGCAGCTCGATGACGTTCCTCACGCGTCAGGCATTTGCCAAGATGTTCAACACGACACCGGATGATCTGGATATGCACGTCATCTACGATGTGTCGCATAACATTGCCAAGGTGGAGAATCACATTGTGGATGGCAAGGAGCGCAAGTTGCTCGTGCATCGTAAGGGTTCCACGCGTGCCTTTCCGCCCCATCATCCCCTGATTCCCGTCGACTATCAGCTTACCGGACAGCCGGTGCTCGTTGGTGGCACAATGGGTACCTGCAGCTATGTGCTCACCGGCACCGAACGCGGCATGCAGGAAACCTTTGGCAGCACCTGCCACGGCGCAGTAAGCGTAATCCGTAGTCTTAATCTGTACATTCCTCATTTGTTTTTAATTCTCTCTCAATTAGGGTCGTGCCTTGTCACGCTCCAAGTCGCGTCGCAATCTTGACTACAAAGAGGTGCTGGATAAGCTGGAGCAGATCGGCATCGCCATACGTGTCGCCAGCCCAAAACTGGTCATGGAGGAGGCACCCGAGGCATACAAGGATGTCACCGATGTCGTCGACACCTGCCACGCGGCTGGCATCAGTAAGAAGTGCATCAAAATGCGACCAATTGCCGTTATCAAAGGCTGATCAAATCTATATATATATATATATATATATTTATATAGTATATTATATGTATATTTATATAAATAAATCCTTATAAATAAATCTAATTATAAGGTTTGTACTTTTATAAAACAGACAAATCATTTCAAAGGCATCAAATGTACTTGTTTATTTATATTTTCTAATTTCATATGAAATCGTTGTAGAAAACTATTCGCAATCATCTAATGATAACTTTTGTATGTTTATAAAAGAGACAAATTATTTCAAACCCATCAAATGAATTTGTTTATTGCAATTGTCTGAATTAATGTCAGTTTTATATCTTAACATTTTCAAACATCTAATTGCAGTGTAATTATGTTATCAGCATTTGGTGCTGCATAGCTAACATAGCCCTACTCTGCTAACCGTACATTTGTTTACGTTCTTAACAGTGCGCTGGTTCCGTGAACCTGTTCGTTTTGGGCTGACCAAATCATTCGGCAACTGACTGTTGGTCCAATAAGTCGCGTCGCCGCGCAATTGCGTTGAGTGTTTAATTTTTTAATGGCTTTAATTGTTTGGCTTACACGTTAATACTTATAATTAATTAAACAAAAGTGAATAATTAGGTGTAGTGCAACGAGAATCGTGACTGATGACATACAAAAAAAAATAACAAATTTTAAGCGCACATCACACGAATTTTGTATGTAATTTCCAATTGCGCAGCTTTTGCAAAAAGAGAAAAAATAGTAGCGCATTCTAGTACATTAATATATTACTGAGACAATCGTCGAACGTATATACATACATATAAACATGACAAACATGCGCCCCCCGCAGAAATCCAAACTACTCAAGGTCATCATACTGGGGGATGGGGGCGTGGGCAAATCAGCGCTACTCACACGCTTCGTATCCAATCGCTACGAGGAGAACAATTTCCATACGATTGGCGTTGAGTTCATGGACAAGGATATCGCTGTCGATGGTGAGAAGTACACACTGCAGGTCAGACAGCAATGCCAATAATAACTTAACTTAATGCTTTATTGTTGTTGTTCGTCTTCTTGTCGCTTGATGTGATAATGATTCAGAAATGTTCATTTCGATCAAATCTATACTCCAATTGGACAAACTCATGTCTGAAATGTTCAAATCGTTCACATCTTTACTGCAATTGGACCAACTCATTGCATAGTTTTTGCTTTCGCTTTTTAACCACTTGTTTTGCGTACTTTTTTGATTATCTGTCTGGGTATCTGTTCCATCTGTGCTCACCCACACACACACACACACACGCAGACACGAAAGCTCAATTAACAGTACAGTTTAGCATGCCAGAATCCGAATCAACAGCGTAAACAACAACAAAAACATCAAAAACAATGCGGCGACTTTGTTTCAGCTTTGCTATTTGTAACAAGCACACACACACACACGCAAACGCACACACACCAATACAAATACACAATGCGTAGGAAACCTTTATGTAAATGTGTATGTAAATTCTTAGCCCATGTCTTTCTCAGCTTTTTCTGCTTCACCTTCAGCACTGCTTCTTTCTTTGCTGATGCACTCTTTTTATGTATTCCCAGTTTTGAATACACAAATTCACCACCGACTTCTAAGTCGGCTTATAAATATGCAACATGGGGTGGGTTGTGCAGCACAATGAGTAAGCAGTTAATTGCTGCAAAATGTCATTTAAATAATTCGTATAATTTACGGATTGCAAATGCGCCGCCAATCAATGCAACAAATTCCTTCACAAAAATTTGCACAACTATTTCACAATTGTCTACGCTTGTTCGTATGTAGTTTTTTACCTGTTCAATTATAATTGTTCCTATTACTCACTCAATGTTGTAATTTGCTGCATAGAAGCAAAAGTTGACTGTTTTTTTTCCATTTCTTTTTTTTTTTTTGTATTAACGCTTCGCTGAGTTTGGGCCAAACAAGAAGCGGGCAACTTGTTGAGCAGGATGGGTTATACACAAAAAGAAATATGTACAAGTATATATACATATATATATATATGTACTTATCTACTTATATATATATACATATATAAATATGACTCTGAAGTGCCCTCCAGCGATTGTAAATAGCGGGAATGCCCCTACTCATAATTATGCCAACAATCTCTGCTGCAATTTACACTTTAAAATCTATAATATAAATAATAATATAATATAAATAATTTGATATGCACACATATTTCGCATTTCAACCGCAATTCCTAACATATTCGTCTGTATTTGCATAATATTTGTATGTTGACTCAGTGACTATTTGCTAAATATACATTATTTGAACAGTTAACAAGAATATTGTGAACAACTTTGTATTCCATTTTAAATTCCATTCTAAAATTCGACCTCGACGTGGAAAATGAGTGTTCAATTTTAACTGTGGTTCATTCCTTCTAGCGCTGCCCACCACCCACCGCTCTACACCCTTTTTGCATATTAAAAAAGTTGCCCTGAACAAAACAAAAAAAAAAAAAAGAAAGGAAAACAACAAACAACAATTTTAATATTTCATTAAATGAGCAGTAAAAATGACTGGCAAATACAAAAAATGACCGATTCAGTCTCAATATATGAAAGCTTCACCAAAATAACCATAGATTGTTTTAATAATTAACGTTTTGACTATTTTAATATATATATATATTATATATATATATATCCATGTTTTCACTCGATGACACACCTTTATTTATTTAAAAGTTGTAAGAATTTTCAGTTGTGAATTTGTATTCCCCTGGTTATCAGCACATTATTATCAGTCACTTGGTTTGTCTTTCGGCTTAGGTTTCTGGGATCTCAGGCCATAAGCAAATATATATATATATATATATATATATATACATATAAATATATATGTAGCCTTGTGCACAACATTCTGCTATCTTTTTTTTTTCTTTTGACCAAAGTTCTGTTTGCCAGCAGTATTTGTATTTTGTTTGTTTGCTTCCATTTAGTGCTGCGAATTCTGACAAACTTCCAATCAGCAATTGAAAAATTTCAATAAACCGTTAATTGAATAACAATCAATAATCAATAATAGGTGTTCTTCTTGAATAATAATGCGTGTTTAATTTTAGATATGGGATACGGCTGGCCAGGAACGCTTTCGCGCACTGCGTACACCCTTCTATCGCGGCTCGGACATGTGCCTGCTGTGCTATGCCTTGGATGATCGGGACAGCCTGCGAGGATTGCGACTCTGGCGCAATGAGTTTCTCAACTATGCGGACGTCGAGCCGGACAGATTCCCCTTCATTGTGGTGGGCAACAAGGTGAGCGGCGCCGAGATGGCGGATTCGAAGCGATTGCAAATTTAATTAATATATTTGCAAATTTTGTAGAACGACATTCGAGCGGAGAAACGGCAAGTGAGCTCGGAGGATGTGCAGAAGTGGTGCACGGAGCAGGGGATTAGCGCACACATCGAGACCTCCTCGAAGGCGGCGACAAATGTGACGGATGCCTTTGTGCTAGCCCTGCGCCAATGGAAGAAAATGGAGTGCATTGCCGAAGCGGAACAGCGACAGAATGGCGAGACTATCAACTTAACGCAGCCCATTCGACTAATGCAGCGTCGCAATTGTTGCATGGGTGGCGATGGTGCAACAAAATCGGCTGACGTCATCGATGCAGATGACGACGATGATGGGCGAACTACGGATGCTGCGATGCATGCACCCAACGCAATATCACGTCATTTATTTGGACAGTTTCGCAGCTCACCAAAGGCGCCATCAACCAATTACCGTCTATGAAAAGTCTGTCTACTTTTCACTGCTTCTCTACTGCTTAACCCAGAGGCATACACTACACATTCCAGTTAAATGGGTGATACCCAACAAAGAAACATAGAAGGAAGGACACACTAAACAATCTGTAGTAGACACATTTTGAATGCACACATTCCACAAGCTGTAGTTGACACATTTTGAGATTAAGTTAATAACGAGTAACGAGTGGTTTTTAAAACAGATAAGACTTTAGAGATATATCTATACATGTATATCCATGTCTCTTTCTATATATATATAGATATATATATATATATATATATATATATATAGTGACATATTCAGATCACACGGATCTCTCATGTCCACACACCCACACACACACACACGCACAAGCCAGACATAAACAAACAAACACTCACATATACACCCGTACCCAGCTGCAAGCAAAATAGCTGATGCTGCAAATAATAACAGTTCAGTTGCCAACCAAAAAACGCGCAACTGAGTGAAGAAGTTACGATCACGCTGCATTTCTCAACTCAGCAGTTCCCACGCTGGACGACGAAAAGAATATCCATATAAAGCAGCGCATTCAGTATTTAAGTCAGTCACATTTTGTACTCATAAGTAAGAAGTCGTGTTTTCAATAAAATTATATTTTTTTATTCTAAACCGCTATCCGACTTTCAATTGGCGCAGCCGGTAGGATAACAGCTAATTTTTTTTGTGAAACGTCGTGGTCCTATCACAGGAAAACGTACTAGTGTTCCGCGATAAAAACTGTTATCCGCATAAGGACCTCGTGATCCTTAAAAAAAAAAACTTTTTTCTAAAAAGTAAAACGCGAGACAGACGACAAAGAATTTTTCTCAAACAAATTTTGAAAACTCCAAACAAAAAAAAAAAAAAAAAATAAATAAATAAAATGATGTTGGAGACACAATTAAACCAAGCACTCGGGCAAATCCGCCAAGTGCCAATTTTCAATGGAGAAACGGACGAGCTAGGAGCCTTTATTGGAAGGATCGATTTTATTATGGAACTCTTCCCAAGCGTGGACGCAAAACAAAAACTGATTATGTACAGCGCGATCCAAATGCAGTTAGAGGGAGATGCAATGAGGACATCGCTGAGGCACCTACCAGGAGATTGGGGAGCACTACGAAGCATACTGATCTCCACTTTCAAGACCCAAACACCTTGTGAGGAGCTACTGAGAAGAGTTTACAACACATATTTTGGTGGAAGTATCCGTAAGTTCCTCGAAGAACTCGAACAAAAATCCTTTGTAATATTAAATAAGTTAGTAATAGAAAATAATGCAGAAAATAAAACATTGTACTCAAATGCATTAAAAAATACGGTTAGAGACGTTATACATAAAAGACTACCAGACAGGCTATACATGCAGTTAGCCAGATATGATATATCAACAACCGATAAATTAAAAGCAGTAGCCCAAGAATTAGGTTTATACGAAGACCGCATACCAGAAAAACCAAAATCTGCAAATAACACCCATTACAATAAAAATAATAACAAATATTATCCAAAAGCTCAATCAAATTACAACCCAAATTATAATCAGAGTTTCAGGAATCAACAAAATTATAATACAAATTATAGAAATCAAAATTCACAAAACGAACCAATGGTCAATAAACAATTGTATAACGAATATCAACAAAAATTAAATCAAGGCAGAATGCAAAACCCAATTAATTATCAATCAGATTGTAACAATACCAGACCACCTAACCAACCCACTAAAAGACAAAGACCTAGTAATAGTGGACAATCAAGAATGGAATGGGCAGAAAATTTTCATCAAACAGCCTCGGAAACAAACACAGAACCCCATTCATAAGAATAATTATGAATAACCAACAAATGCGATGCTTAATAGATACAGGGTCATCAGTAAATATGATGAATAAAAATTTCTTTAATTACCCAACTTTTAAAGAAAATATTACTTGTCAAACCATAAGTGGAGAAATAAAATTAAATACCAGCATATCATTAGCCCCTAGCAAACTGTGTCCAACAGATCAAAAGTTTTTCATACATAATTTTTCCGAAAATTTTGACATCCTCTTAGGCCGAACGTTCCTTAAGGATTGTAGAAGCGTGATCAATTACGAAGACGAATTTGTTAAACTTAATAATTTTCAATTTTCATTTAAATATAATAACGAAAATAAGGAAGAAGAATATAAAGACCCACTACTAATAAAAGATATACATACAGCATACGCATTGGAAAACGAATTAGTGGAAAGCAATCAGTTTAGATTAGAACACCTAAATACAGAAGAAAAAGCCACGTTAACAAACATTTTGTTTGAATTTAGCGATATTCAGTATAAAGAGAGTGACAATTTGACTTTCACAAATACTGTAAAACACGTTATCAATACAAAAAATGAGGACCCTTGTTATAAGAAACCATATAAATATCCACAAACCTTTGATGACGAAGTTAACAAGCAAATGAAAGAAATGATGCAACAAGGTATTATACGACCATCTAATTCACCTTATTGTTCTCCTATTTGGATAGTACCAAAAAAAGAAGATGCATCAGGAAAGAAAAAATATAGAATAGTAGTAGACTATCGCACCCTTAACGAAAAAACAGTAAGCGATAAATTTCCCATACCTGTAATGGATGAAATATTAGACAAATTAGGAAAATGTCAATATTTCACAACAATCGATTTGGCTAAAGGATTTCATCAAATTCAGATGGACGAAAAATCAATAGCAAAAACAGCATTCTCAACCAAAGCAGGACATTTCGAATATACGCGAATGCCATTTGGCTTGAAAAATGCACCAGCAACCTTTCAGCGTTGTATGAACAATCTTTTAGGAGACTTAATTAACAAAAATTGTCTAGTTTACATGGATGACATAGTAGTGTATTCCACTTCATTGGAAGAACACATATTAGCGTTAAGGAAAGTTTTTAGAAAGCTCAGAGAAGCAAATCTAAAACTACAACTAGATAAGTGCGAATTCATGAAAAAAGAAACTGAATTTCTAGGACATATAATAACAACGGAAGGAATAAAACCTAACCCAATCAAAATAAAAGCCATTAAAAAATTTCCAATCCCTAAGACCCCAAAAGAAATCAAAAGATTCCTAGGATTATGTGGATTTTACAGGAAATTCATACCAAATTTCGCAAAAGTTGTGAAACCAATGACAATAAAGCTAAAGAAAGGAGCAAAAGTTAACGAAAAAGAAATAACATACTTAGAAGCCTTTGAGAAATTAAAATTACTCATAACATCAGACCCAATATTAGTATATCCGGATTTCAAGAAAAAATTCTCACTTACTACAGACGCTAGTAATTATGCGTTAGGAGCAGTTTTATCACAGGATCACAAACCAATATGTTATGCTAGTAGAACTTTAAACGAGCATGAGATAAAATATTCAGCGATAGAAAAGGAATTATTAGCAATAATATGGGCAACGAAAAATTTCAGATCATACTTATTTGGCAGAAATTTTGAAATACTTAGCGATCACAAACCTCTTATATGGCTAAACAACATAAAAGAGCCAAACATGAAGTTACAAAGGTGGAAAATAAGACTAAACGAATACGATTATGAAATCAAATACATACCAGGCAAAGAAAACTACGTAGCTGATGCACTTTCAAGGATTAAAACAGAAGAAAATAACGTAGAAGAAAATTTCATGGGGAATACTCAAGATAGCATAGCAGCGACAATACATAGCGCAAACGAAGATAATCAAAATTGTATTCAAACCACAGAAAGACCATTAAATAATTATAATCATCAAATAGAATTTATAAAAGGAAATACCGAAGAAATAAAGAAAATAAGATATTTTCACAAAAACAAGAAAAAACTATGAAATAAATTTCATAGAACCAAATGTAATATTAACTTGGAACTTACCTAAAATTACACTTAATCAAAACTGTATACCACAAAAGATTGAAATTTTAGGAAACAACATTATTAAAGCAACCAATTGTTCTGTCCAATTAGAAGATATCCAGATATCAAATGTAATATCAGATTTTACACAAACCGTTTATATCAGTAATAATATAACTAAAACAGAGCCGTTAGCATTCATACAAACTAAAGAACTCATAAGAGAACATACAAGAACAAACAATACATTATTAATCATAAGCTTAACATCAGTAACAATATTATCAATAGTAATAATTAGCTATTCTTTATTCAAATACAAAAATTTACCAAAACGAACGATAATAGAATATAAGAATAGTACAGTAACAACACCACCCGTCGAAAATGAAGACAAAGCAACCATGGAAAGCGCCAACGACTTAAGAATATACCCTACACTGAACGCTTGAGGACAAGCCAATTTCTAATGGATGGGGAAGTGACATATTCAGATCACATGGATCTCTCATGTCCACACACACACACACACACACACGCACAAGCCAGACATAAACAAACAAACACTCACATATACACCCGTAGCCAGCTGCAAGCAAAATAGCTGACGCTGCAAATAATAATAGTTCAGTTGCCAACCGAAAAACGCGCAACTGAGTGAAGAAGTTACGATCACGCTGCATTTGTCAACTCAGCAGTTCCCACGCTGGACGACGAGAAGAATATCCATATAAAGCAGCGCATTCAGTATTTAAGTCAGTCACATTTTGTACTCAAAAGTAAGAAGTCGTGTTTTCAATAAAATTATATTTTTTTATTCTAAACCGTTGTCCGACTTTCAATTATATATATCTACAGTCTTTGATAATACTACAAGTTGTGTATAACAATTGTGCCTTGGAATTGGATCAAATGATTTGACCAAATGAGCTTCAAGTGAACATTTTTTTTTTTTAACTTTAGAGCAGTGCATTAACTGTTATACAAATATATACACATTTATATATAGCAGCTTAATTCATTCAGTTTGTGCTTTTAACAGTTAACTATCTGAAGCCAATTGATATTCAACGTGCGAAGTTAAGCTTTTGGACTGCTTTGTTTAACGAAAAACTTACTTAGATCAAGCCAATGAAGATCATTATAAGTAATAAATACATTATTCGTTTGTCTACAACTCAATTGTAAATAATATGAATGAAGAAACTCAAATAAAATGAAATGGGTAAAAATAATTTGAAATTCTGCTTTCATTATAACATTTTGACATATATATATTTCTATTAATGTGTATCTTTATCTATGTAAGTAATATAGGTAATAACAGGCTATAATTACGCTTACCCCCAATTAAGTATATATATATATATATATGTATATGGATGTGTGTGTGTGTGTGTGTGTGTGTATAAAGTGAAATATGTCAGCTATAACACTTACTGCATAAGACTAAGGCAAACTTGTTGGCTCTATCACTAGCGAAACCAGCGAAAACTGTATAGTATCGCAAGCGTTGGCGTTGGCATTGGACAAGCGTATAACAGATATTTAGGCTTAATGCATATTAAACGAGTTTTCGATAGACGAGGGAGAAATATCACTTGCTGCACTGCACACATTGCGGACACGATGCGCGTCACTGCTCATCGCTCCTTCTCACTTCTTTTTGTAGCCATACGAATTGATGGCATCGTATTCGCCATCGCACATGAGCAGCAGCTGATACCACTGATCGCCATCGACGCGCGGAAGCTCCAGGATGCCGCCATAGCAGGCTGGCAGGCACTTGGGCGACATGTACTTGTGCAGGGAGTCGCGATCGGTGCCATGGAAGATGATGCGACTGCGCAGCTTCTCGCGCAGGAAGGGCTTGAAGAGCGCAAAGACAACATTGAAGATCTTGGGCTGATTCACAATGTGAATGGCCTTGATGCGCAGTGCCACCGAGTCCTGCAGCCAGTCGACAATCCGCTTGGCAAATGGCGGCGTAAACTGCCATGTCTGCTGCAGACTAAGGCCATCCATGTCGAAGATAACGACAGCGCCATTGATCTGTGTCTCCGGCTCCAGCATGGCGGCCTCCAGGAATATGACGGCACCCTTGAACACCTCATCGAGTGTGACCTGCTTGTGCTTCCAGCGTTCTGAATGCAACAAAAATCAGATATTACAAATGCAGTCATATTAACCCTAAGGCCATATATCCACTTACTGCCCAGCTCCAGTAACAAGATGCGGCGTCCGCACTGATCACGATTGGGGAACACGGTGAGTATATTGTGCTTAAAGATGTTGGCCTCCCGCGTCGGTTTCAGGTCATTATACACATCCGAATGCTTCACCTTGAATGAGTAGTAGCGCTTGATCTGGGATTGAGAAGTTGATACATTAAGTTAATGGGCAACTGCTTATTAATTATGTATATATATATATATATATATATATAGACGCATACCAGGTCACGCGCACTCTCTGGATAATACTTGCAGGGACGCAGGAAGCGTATCAGCCACTCCTCGTTGTCCTTGGGGCAGTACAAATCGGTTTCCGCTAAACGTTAATAAATTTTTTTAATTGTTATGTAATTATAATAAATTTTGCTTTCAAACTGAACAAAGTCCAACAAGTTTCTTTGTTAATTACACAAGTGTGATGCGACTGATCTCTTTGACCTTTTCCAATAACTGACGCTATACTTGTAGATATATCTTTCTCTAGACTCAAACTTAGCTGTGCGTTTACTTAAATGGTTATAACATGTAAACTACTGTAATAAGGGGGGTCGTCAAGGAAGTCGACTTTTAGTCTCATCGTAATTGGAAAGATAAGTAAAGGTTCTGTCGCTATATAATTAATGTCATGCTAATAATTGCACTTTCTTACTATGGAGTATGTATTGCAATATGAGTTTAAAGTCTACAAAGTCTAAAAAAAACCAATTGGAATATTGCCCTGCCTCAACATTTTAAAAGTGGTTTGTATAGATTGGTTTTGTGACCCAATCAAGCTGTTTTTTTTTTTGAGTGATTTAAGTTTGCACTGCTTATAGAAAGCATCAGAATATCGGTAACAAAATGGATTGTCATTGAACTTTGTGCCCCATTCAATTAATCTGAACTCCATCATCATTAGATTGTATACATTATTTATAATCACTTAATATAAAACACTTAAGTCAAGTAGAGTTCTGCTTAATGAGTGTGCATAAATTTGTTGATTGAAATTATTGGAATTTCCTTAGCAAATAGAATACTAAACACAACTAATCCCCAGTTCTACTTAATGCTTGATTGGGAAAATCATGAGATATCTATATCTATATACATATAAATGGCGGACTTACCGTCAAGCAAACGCTTCAGCTCCTGCGTGGCCTGCTTTTGACGCTCGGGGGTTTCCCGCAGTTCCCGGACTGCAACTTCCTTGGCTGCAGCGGTGGGTTCGCCCAGTTCAAACTGAAGCGTATAATCGCCCAGCTTCAGCGTGGGCAATGCATCGAGTTCCGATAACATGGTGGGCACTCCTATTAATCAAACAACAATCAAAAACAAAATTCAAATGATGGAAAAGAAAATGACAATTAAAATGCAATTAGTGCATGTAACAAGTAGCGTGTTTGCCTATATATATATATATATGGAGAGAAACCTTTTGACTAACAACAATTTGCAATTCTATATAATGTCTGTATGGGTTATTGTGTAAGAGCTCTGTGGATAAACAAAATCAGTAATTATTACTTACTCATTTTGCAGCAGGCGTATTTGTTGCTGTTGGTTGAAGCACTTTTGAAATGAAGTGATAAATATATATATTCTTTTGTGCTTAGCACTCAATTTTTGCTTAATTCTCGTATTGACTTTACGATCTCAAGTATTCCAGCTACTGCTCTGTGACAAATTGTACATATATATATATATTGTTGTTGGTTTTCATTTACAAACCGGATCGTTGCAATATCAGCACAAATGCAGGCCGATCCATTGCCGATCAACCGGTTATATCTTCTATTTTTTTCTTCTTTGCAACCTTAACCTTAACCTTGACATTCGCTTTGTGGTTTGCAAAAAAAAAAAACAACCGATTTCAATAACGGATGCTGCATAAAAGTTATTATTTTCAGCAACAGTTTTTTTTTTTTACTTCCGCTGACTTTGAGATGAGAATGCATTTGCCATGAAGATATTGGCGAATTAAACATTGAGCTAAATTCTTAATCTCAGCTTGTTCTACTTGGTTTAATTGCAATCTTGTTTTTGCTTTTTAAATTACACATTTCAACATTCAGCTAAACGTGTAATTTAAAAAATCTAAGGCTAAAGTTGTTGTGGAAGATATATATATATATATATATATATGTAAATATATATAAAATGATCATTATATATAATAATATATGTATTTTTGAGGCTAATACGCAACTCAACCGATTATCTATGGGAATTTGGGTCTAAACAAAAGACAATTAGATCGACTCAAAAGCGCTCAGAGACATTGATGGACTTTGATTGAGATGAATGAGCATTTAATTTGGTACTTTGTAATCACATCAAATCGTAGTAAATAATAGTAAATAGTAAATAAATAAAAGCAAACGTTTAACGAGAAGTTTCGAATAGTTTTTGGCGCAACCTAAAAATGCACAAAATGCGTACAAACAACAACAACAACAACAACAACAATATATGTATAATGTACAGCATAAACTTATGAATAGTTAATGTCTTTTGAAAGCAACACGATAATAATCGTATAATTTATATAGTACACACTCCGAGCACAACAGAAAAACACCAAGACACAATTTGAACTGAAACCGAAAACGTGAAACTCGTTTTTTGGGGGAGCTGGCTATACTCGTAGTGCTACCATAAAGATCAGTGATAATGCCGTGTAGACGGAGCAGCGCTGACAACAAACCGTGTAACGGAGCCGAAAGAGCAGACGAAACTGTGGCAGCCAAAAGCGCGTTGCGAAGATTATATACCAGGCCAAGAATTAAAAAACTGGAAATTCACCGATGACAACAGCTGAAGCAAAAGCTAAATAAAGCTAAAGCTACAACTGAAGCTGAAGCTGAAGCTGAACTTGAGCATGACATTCGCGGAGAGCGAGAGTGAGATTGAGCTAAAAGTGAGCAAAAGCTGAGGGGTTGCAAGAGAAGCGAATGCATTTGGGAAATTATGCCAAAGCTGGTTTTCAATGCGGATACTCAGCTGTTGTTGCTGCTACTGCTGCTGCTGTAGAGAGTATTCCAAGAGCAACACCAACAGCAGCAGCCTCTTCGATATATGTATATATGTATTTGTAATTGTCTCCAGTTTTGACCCTCAGGCTTTGTACTTTCGGTTCAATGTCAGCTAGTGCTAGCGATAGTGATACACGTTAATTAGCCATTACACAGTAATTACAGCTGTTTGACAACAATGGCTCAGAGTGTGCGCTTCGCTTATAATTGTGGTTGATTGGGTCCAACACGTTTCAGACAACAACACAGCCCAACCATGGGCATGGGACCAGACCAGCACTTCTTTCGTCACCTTTTTGTTTCTTTTGTATATTCGACGCCAACACGTGCGAAGCTCGCCTTTGACTCGCAACATCCATTCATTATTTTTTGTGTGTGTTTTGGCTTGTCTTCTCAGTTTTGGCCAAAATTCACTCACGAATCAAACAGCCGTGTCGTTAGATATAAAATCAGACTTTGAGAAAATATCATCGTAGAGTAATAAACACACCTACATATGTACAGTGGCGAGCAAAAAAATAGCACCACTATTTGGCATATTATGTTTCTGATCACAAATCGAACAATTACTTTTTGCAATTTTTTCAACAACTGATTTTTAAACAACTATACGTTAAATACAGTACTACCTGTTAATTGAATATTTTTCAATACATTTTTATTTTTTTAATTAGGGAAAAGTGCTTTATTTTTAAGAGTCTTCCACTTGTAAAACCATATTCATAAGTTCATTAAACTTAAAAATAAAAATAGATTTGTAGTAGATCATAAGAAGCTCAAATTCGATTTATATTGCACTGTTTGTTTAGTGGTGTTACCCAAACAATGTCAAAAAAGATAGCAAAATTTGCAATTAAAAAAAAAACATGCGAGAAAACGCGAAAAAGGGATAAACCGAAATAACCATGACGTAAAGACAGTAAGCATAAATGTCAAGTAGTCTTGCCAAAAAAGAAAAAAAAATTAAACACACACACATAAAGATATGACATTGAACTATGTTCATGACAAATTCAATGTAAAAAGTGCTTTAACCTTACATGCCAAAAACTTATGAAAGTTAAAAACATATGCATGTATGCATGTGTGTGTGTACTTGTGCAAAGTAAACACATTTAAAGTGTATGTGTGTGTGTATGATATGTATGTATGTATGGCTGTCTCACCTAAACCAACGGAAGTGGAGGCTGCTGTCCTAGGCAAGCAGGTTGTTGCTGCACTCGGCGGCATAATGACAGAAGCACAGCTCATCTCGATATTCATTTTTATATATTTAATATTTTCACGTTGACTTTGTAGCGTAAACAGCAATAACAATGCATGTGCATTTGCAGTTGCACTTGAACAGGAACCGGCGCAAGCTTTTAGCCTGAGCTTCAAAAGTGTCAATGCCAACCGTTTATTAAACTTCTCAAGCAAAATTCTATACGAATTTCGTTAAATGCGTCTCCTTCACACAAATCCGCAGCAATTCCAGCCACTCTTTGACAACTCACAATTACAGCTTTGGCGGCGAAGCCGAAAGTGAATGCAAAAGGAAACGCGAACATATCTGACAGCTTGGTGCAGTGCTGGCAAGCGTGCAAAAAGGCAACCAGTTGCAAGCATTGCATTTGTTGTTGCTCTTTTTGCTCTGCTTGTGTAGACATTGAATTTGTGCTGTTCATTATGCAAAGGGCAAGCACAAAAGAGAAGCGAAAAGCGCAACGAAGCCAAAACAGAATGCTTAAAGCGCACGCATCAGCGCATCAGCACGCTGCAGTAAATATGTATGTATCTATGCAAAAACAATAACACAACACTGAAAATAGTACACTTACCAAAATTGAATACGGGCTCAGCTAATCCAAAAGCGAGTTGCGTTAATATCCTTTAAATGCGTTTTCTTATGAGGTTGTTTGACTTGTTGAATGAAATATTGCAAGCTATACGATTTATGGCTGGTCTATCTCGGTCTTAACACGCTTAAAGACTGAAAATATAATGCTCTTTATTCAACAGTTTTATACCCGGATCGAATGTATTTTGTATGTGTGTATATCAAGGTAGTTAAGAATTAATGTACGCTCACACACACGTGTCTGTATGTGTTGACAGGTCACACACAAAACTATTACTTATGGCTAATTTCAGCTCGTTGAAAAGTGCTGGCATCGTTAGCTGTTATACAGCGATTTACTGGAATGTCGCTAAGGCTTAATGGCTAAGCCCTGTGCAGTTGTCTGCTTAGTCTATATTTATATATCAATGAGAAAAACGCCGCACTGGGTTAAAGTTCAAGGCAAATTTCCAACTCATGCAAGCCTTCATAAACTGTTATACACATATATTACACCATATTGCTCCCGAACTGTTATAACGAATAACGAATGTGCACCACAGATATATAACTGTTACATATATATGTTACAGCGCGAAGTTAGTAAATCCTGGAACTGTTGTAACTAACAGCAGATGCCTAATTTACAGTCATTTCTCTCTTTATAACTCGGACGCATATGCTGTTATACACACATATTGCACTATATTGGTACCGCAACTGTTATAACTAATAGTAGTCAACTATTTCACAGTCATTTCTCGCAGTGCACCGCAGAAGTATATAATTATTGTTGAACCTTTGAACGCTCAAGCAAAAAGCCCACTCAGTACCCGGTATGAGTCGCATTCAAAAGTCGGGCTAAGGTGACTTAGCCTATTTATATACGCAATATATGTACATATATGTATATATGTACATTTATATAAATATTTATGTGGTGATTTAAAACTAAAAAAAATCTCGCACGCGTCGCTATATTTAATAATAACTGCTACATGGGTTCGAAATCTAAACTGCTCGCACTTTGTATTTGCCACTTTTTTTTAATGCCTTAAGTTACTTCATAATTAACTGCTTTTGAGTAAAATAAAAAACTAAACTAAACAGCAACGAGCTCAAGTCAAACGATTCGACGACTTGCGTGTCTCCGTTCAAATGTTCAACTGGCGATAATGCAAACTCATTGTCTTTGCCCGAGCAATTAATGTATTAAAGTATCGCATGTGTGCCCGAAATTTAATTCAATTTCCATTTCTGTTTCTTTTTGTGCTTTCTGTAATTTATATAGTCAGCCGGTCTTTCAGTCACTTAGTCAGTCTGACAGCCTGTCAGCCAAACCGTCAATGCTGAGAGTCGAGCTACGTCAGCTTTTTAAAGTTCAATGGAATTTCGCTGAGCTGCGATGCAATTTCAACAGCAATTAACTTAAGCACAGTTCGCCATGCATTAAATAAATATTGACTATTTACTGATAGATGACTGTGTGTGTTGTTTATATGCATAAATAAATAACCAGTCGACAGATTAAGTCAATTTATCCAGTTGCATGCAACTAATCGCAGACAGCCGCTGATAGTGAGCTAGTTTCAGAGTTGACATGTAGTTAATATGTATTTACAATGTATTTGACTTGATGAGTTTCTTAGTTACAAGTGCTAAAAGCTGATATACATTTTTTCTAGAGTCACAATTAATATCATTATAGATCGTACTTACAAATTACTTTAATCTTTAATCACAAATAATATCATTAAAGATCGTACTTACAAATTAGTTTAATCTATAAGTTACCAAAAATTAGTTGGTAATTGGTAAGCGCAGCACCCAGCAATTAATCTGTATTTGGGCTTTACGCTTAACGCGGTATTGTCAAATACTAATTATAAAAGAGTACAGTTTACTAGACGAAGGACTAAATGCATTGTGCTTCGTATAGTTATTACAATTGTTGCTAAGTATATATTGCTTACGTAACTCTAAGAAAAGCGTTATGTATGACTTACTATATAAACTATACTAAACTATGTGTGTATATATATATACAGATAAAATCATTAATATGTCAACGATATTCAATTCTAAAGTCTTTAGTGTCTTTCACGAGTTCTTTGCTTGATTTTAAGTACAGATTACATCTACAACAGCTATATATATATATATACAGGATTCTATTCGTTTAACCTGCACTTGGGCTGCAATTTGCCATTTCTGATTCGGTGTTTGCCTTTTGTTTTACCCTTGCTTCTCCCAAGCAATCATTTGGGCCGAACTTTCTCGTACATGAACTGTTGCAAATGCTTATTATCTGGCTGCATCAGTTTCTTTTTGGTAAATTCGAACTGTGCCAGTGCAAACTCGTACAGTTCGTTCTCCATTTGCCAAATCTTGGATCTCTGTATGGTCTGTTTGGTAGATTCAGTGGGCGGTAACTTTGAAGAGGTCACACGTAAATGAGATTTATTGGAATTTTGATAGTGCTCACGAAAGCCTTGAAATATTCTGCAAATTTAAATGTCATTTAAAACATGCTCATCTCGGATAGGATTTCACGACTTAAACTCACCTGGGCAGCGATCTTTCTAGGAGGTCCACAAACTCGTACATTTGCTCTGTGACACCGACCAAGAAGTACTCGTTGACCAAATTGCGCTTGGCCTGCTTTAAGGCCCAATCACTGCCGGGTTCCCAGCACTCGGCAGCGTGCCCACAAAAGAATGGTATTTGCAGCCACATATTTTTGGGATCACAGTCGGCTTGCTTTTGAATAACGCACTCATCGAATGTCTGCATAATTGAATCCAAATCAAATATGACATATAGAATATGTAAACAAATATAATAATTAGATACTTACAATTTTATTGCCAGCTTTTTTTCGCACCAAATTGGGGCGATAATTGTCGCCATAACGCAGAAAGTAGTAATATGAGACGAGTCTATCCAGGGGCTTACGCACCACATTTATATAGATGGGCTTGTGTGCGATTTGGAATCTGCAAAATAGTGATATAAATATAATAATATTTAATGTCTATAAATTTGATACACCTACTTGGAGAAATCGAGAAATGCCATGTGTCCGTGATAGAGAGCCGGCTTCATTTCATGCCATCTAGTCACATTGCGCACAAAGGAGATCTAAACGAAAAACATAACAGTTAAACAGCTCTAGTGTGTTCGATAGCGATGGCCACTAGACTCACCTGATTTGGCAGCGAAAGTACGTGCATATTGGCAGTTACATTGATATGCAGAACGTGATATCTGTTTTGTTTGCACAAATCGTAGGCGATGTTCACGAAACTGGTTGAGCCCGTCTTGGGTACCCGATTGTACAGCACCACCAATTGCTCCTCATAATTGAAGTTATCCAATGTGGGCGCAATTTGAGCAAGCGATGATTGCGATGATTGCGCCGCTTGAGTCGCACCGTTGCCAGCCATGTTCGACAGTGGCTTTATGGCTGCACATAGGGAAATATAATATACAATATTGCACAAATGATATGGCAAATGGGAGTCTGAGTACAAACCTTGTTTCAATCGCAATTCGACCAACCAATAAAAGGTGACAAAGATGCAGAGGGCGAGTAGAAACCAGTGGAGTGGACGCATTGGAGGCAACATCTTACGCAATTTCTTATACATACTGTTGCTGCCTAAATCTGATGTGTTCTTCAATCTTTTGTAGCGGCTCTACGCATTTTTATTAAATGATTTTTAGCCAAATTGTGTGCAGGTATTTTCCATTTTGGGTTTTTTTTCTCAGTGAGCCGCTGGCTGCAATATTGACCAGCGTAAAAAACAGCTGTCTTTGGCAGTGTTGTGCACCGCACGCTGGACGATTACCAACTGTGCTATCGAGTAATGTGATTTTCACATATGTAGGATATAGGATATATTATTCAATATAGCGATTTTAATTCTGCTTATAAGCTTTGAATTATATTTTTGAGGTATTGTTATTACAAATTAGTATGCATTATTATCTGCCACGTAACTATTTAGCGCAAGAGCGAGATGGCGAGAATGTACCATTGAACAGAATCTGTAAACATTGCTGCACACTAAAAATAAAACAGCTGCTTGTGAGTCGTAAATAGACGCTTGGTTTTTGTTAGTAAAGTGCAATTAAAGAAGGAAAAATAAAAACAACTAAAGTCCGCACAAGATCTATACAAAATGTCATCAGCAATATATTTAGAAAATTATCTAGACGGTCTGTGAAAAATAAAAGCTAAAAACAAGCAGAGGCGGCAATTGATTTCGTTTTTCTCATTTAGGATTGGAATCACTGCCAACGGAACTGGAGCGGAACTTTAAGCTGATGAGGAAACTGGATGATCGGGCACAGACTGCGATGAAAAGCATCGACAGCCATGCAAAGGATTTTATGCGCAAACTAACCACGGAGAGCGGTTCGATGAGCGAGGAGGAGCGCAAGGAGCGCTTGGAGGACATTAAGGCACTCTTTGGCAAGGCGAAAGAATACAGCGATGACAAAGTTCAGCTGGCTATACAAACGTACGAACTGGTGGACAAACAAATCCGAAGACTCGACAATGATTTGGCGCGGTTTGAGGGCGAGATACAAGAGAAGGCCTCATCCACGCGTGCCAAATCCGAGGAAGCGGTCGCCAAAAGTACGTAAACTACATTGAGACAGTGAACTGAATGTATCAAATTAATTTATGTTTATATTTTATACAGAGGGTGGCCGTAAGAAAACCAAGGATGGCAAGGCAACGAGTAAAAAGAAAAAGCCAGCTTCCTCAGATGAGGAGACTGGCCGTGGTGGCAATCATTCGAACAGTGCCAGTGGCGCGAATCTGAATGCTAGCAGCAGTGCTGGCCAAGGTAGCAAAAAGAAAAAGTCTAAGGTAAATCAAGAAAAAGAAACACGCAAGGGGGGCGCCCAAAAGGTAAATCATCTTCATCAAGCATTATTCATATATGTATTCGTCCTGTTGCGATTGTTACTCCCTCTTTCTAACCACTATTTAGTTTAGTTTGTTTGCCTGATAGCCTACAAAGTAGCAAAATCGCTGAATATACTCTGCACGAAAGATCCCCCTCCATTTGCCTCTTAACGTATGTATTCAGTGTATTTGAGATTAGATATTCAATTAGCTTTGCATATTTCATTTTTTACATTTCACCTGCCTGCATGATCCCCGATAAGAGCTAAGCATTTTTGGAGGTATTTATTAAATCTCGTTTTCTTTTTGCCACCACACAGAAAGCGGTTGATGTTGATGATTCTGAGAAGGAATCTTGCCACACGACTGCAACGCATCCCAGCGATGTCATGGACATGCCAGTGGATCCGAACGAGCCAACATATTGCTTATGCCACCAGGTCTCCTATGGCGAAATGATTGGCTGCGACAATCCAGACGTGCGTTTATTCATAATTATTGTTTACCTATATGATTTTAAAATGCCTTTTCTTTTATTTTGCCAGTGCCCTATTGAGTGGTTTCACTTTGCCTGTGTGGGCCTCACCACGAAGCCAAAGGGCAAATGGTTTTGTCCCAAGTGCACGCAGGACCGTAAAAAGAAGTAGATATTAATGACCATTTCCACAGGCAGCAATAACGAGTTGCTTCTCAACTGTCGGTCAATGTAAATAACCCTTACGCCACTTAGTTCTTAGTTTCTTAGCATAAGTATGAATCACTATTAAACACAGTTTTTTATACATCAATCAAAATGTTTATTTGGTAACCTGTGTTGTTTACAATAACATACAAGCGTTTCTTTTCTTAAAACTATTCCGTGTTACCTTTAATTAGTTCATGTTTCAGTTTCAGTTTATTTTCATTTAGTTTCTTTGCCATCTTTAGATGACATATGTTAGTCATAGCTGTTGACATGGAGTTCATTTTGTACAACAGTTGTTAAAACCAAATGTGATTTCCATATCCAAAATATAACATTTTTAAAATTAGATTTTTAATTATATCAAAATTTATATCTAAATATATTACAGTTGATTCGATACAATTAGTGTGCAACATTATCCATAGACTTGTGGGATTTTTTCATAAAAATTAATTCGTTTGTCAATTAAATTAAAATTATGCACTACCTGTGCAATTTAAATCAAATAGATTTTCTTAATGTATTTAATGTCTTTGCTAATTCAATGTGTTAACGAAGATCAAAACATGAAAATAATATATATTTTAAACACAGTGCTGAAAATTGCTGCCGTGAGCCTCCGAAGACTGTCTTCGTGATGTGCGTTCCGATTTTGCAAATTAGTTGGTTGGCCTACTTTTTGGTCATAATCTTCAAATACTCAAGGGCATTCTGAGCTGCATGTCGCTGCGCCTCAGCAGGCGTTGTCCCTGTGCCAAGGCAAACGCCGACCGGCAACGTGGATAATTGAACCAGACACTGAAACTGCCTGGTAAACGTCCTCTCCTCAATGTCCACGTAGGTAACCTCGAACTGATTCTCCATAGCAATCTCCGACAGCAGTTTAACGTAGTCAAGTTTCGAGCTCTTCAGGCATGTCTTCTGAAAAAGATAAATCCATATCAATCATAACACATCTCGCATACATGGCCTTTTTCAATGGCCAATACAACAGACCGTCGAAACAGCTGCATCTCTAGTAGCAGTACAATTTACCTGTAATTTAAGCAGTTTTTTGCCTGTAGCATTTTTCAATGTCTTGTGGAATTGCGACACTTTGTTACTATGTTGTGTGGTCAGTGTTGGCACAGTGATATCTTTCAAATCACCATAATAACTATCGATGTTACGGGGCTGCAAATAAGAGCGCAACATTTTCTCATTTAATAAGCAAAAAATTCCTCGCCAATCAAATGGTGAGTTGAAACATATCACGAATTTCCAACATGTATTATAAATTCACGATAAAAACGTCAAAATATAATTCAAGCTAAGTTTGCATTTGAAAAAACAAGGGAAAAAAGAAGTAGAAACAATCAAAAGGTATTTGAAAAAAACATACTTTCAAATAATATAACATTTCAATTATTATTTCATACATATTAAAAATGAAGCCGGTTAAATTTAGCTAGATTGTAAGTACTATGAAAAGCAATAAATTCAATTAAAATGACAAATACAAATATTTTAAATTAAGCAACGAGTATTTACACATGTTGGTTGCAAAGGTTAATATTTTCTATTTCTATATGGAAGCCAAAGAATTAATTACGTTAAAAAGTTAAAAAGAAACACATTCTACAGTTCGTACACATTATAATTGGATGAAATGCGGTCGTAACAACGACTGGGAGCTTGTGTTAGTGGTTGTGGTTGTGGCACTACCGGCAGCTGCACGACGCTTACAACCGCAATATTACTCACATCACCCTCCAGTTCGTTGCAGATGCTGTCATTGATTTGGTTAGCATCGATGGGCGTCTCCTCCAGGCGTGTCCACATCTTATGGGCGGCCAGCCGTTTGGCAATCTTCTTGCTCTTGCCCTTGCCCACCTCGCGATAATGCAGGATGGTGCACGCAATCGTAAATAGTCGCTCATGCGGCAGTCCCACCTCTGTCTCCGTTTCATACGATGGCGGCGGCCAACGACGTTGCATGCACTTCTCCTGCAGCAAACCAATGGGATTGCCCACAATCTTGTCGCCAGCGCTAACAAGAAGAGTTTAACACATTAACAATTGATACTATTTGGTATTTGAAGGGGTTATCAAAATATTTACTCGCCGCTGCCGGAAGTATTGGCATTGCTGCCATTGCCATCGCCACCGCTGCCCACAGCCAGAGAGTTGCCAACAACCGCTGCAGCGGCTGCTGCTGCTGCTGAATTTCCCTGAGATTCCAGCTGGACGCCAATCAGCTTGTTAATCAGGGCATGGGCAGCCGCATGCTTAGCCTCTTTCTTGGAGCGGCCAGCGCCCATAGCGGTAAATGGTGTATCTTTGTCCTTGAAGGACACACGAAACCGGAATGTCGGCTCATGTATAGCGCCCTCGATCTGTACCAGCTCGTAGCCCGGCGTAATGCCGAGTCGACTCAACATTTCCTGCAGCATGCTGACCGGTGTCTTCATGGCCAGCCCATTGGCATCCGTTTCGTTAACAAACTTGAGCGTGTCGTCAACTGGTAAAGTGCCGGTGCTGCCCAACGTACCACTCAGCTCAGGGAGATGTTGAGGATGATGATGCTGCTGTTGCTGTTGTTGTTGCTGCTGCTGCTGTTGGAGCGCCTGCAGCTGTTTCTCCTTCTTCATCTTTGGTCGCTGCATCATTGACGGCTTACCCATCAGCGAGTCGCTGCAGCCAACTACACCACCATTGGCCAAAGAAGCAGCCGCCAAGGCAGCTGGTGAGTTGCCCATGTTGTCAAATTGCCGACGCGGCGCAAATCCCGCCTGCATGGGCAGCTGTTGCTGTTGGAGCTGCTGCTGCTGAATATGTTGGTAATGCATTTGTTGCTCAAGCAAATGCTGTTGTTGCTGCTGCTGCTGTTCATGAGCATGGTAGTGTTTTGGATCCATATTAACGTAAATAATAATTATAAATAGTGTGTATCTGGAAAAAGAATGCAACGTTGCTTGAAAAATCAATAGAATGCAATCAATGACGACGCATTAATATGCACTAAATAGTGTTTATTTGTCAGATATGCACTCTGTGTGCTTAGTAGTACTCACGTTTGATTGGCGGGGTTTTATACTGTTTTTTATTTAATAATAATTTATTAATTGTTTATTAATAATTCATTCTTAAATAAAAAATACAGCAAAATCCAGTCGCACACACACAATATCTGCGGATATATATGTATTTGTGATGCTGCTGTGTTGCCGTATTTAATAATAACTGACAGCTTGCCCTGTGGCAACGCTGATTGTGTGCAAAAATGTCAGAATGTCAAACAGTAAGAAGAAGCAGCCGAGCGCAATTTCACAAAAACACATTTTTAAATATAATATTTATTGCAATTCGATTTTGCTGCATAAATGTTGTACATTATAGATAGGTATATATATAATAGATTTTTAATTTGTATAATTAATGCACGGGAAACACTCGTTCAATCAAATCAACGGTGAATGTTTGTGGAATTAGCAGCTTTCAATTGCGATTGTGGTTTTTGTTTTTTTGGAGTTTTCTTTCCCGAATCAACAAAGGAATTTACGATATTTCTATGCATATTATCGAATACAGCGTGTGCTTTGGGGCAGCCAACACATCTAATCATCGCTGAGAAAGTCGTCATCCAGATTAACATCTGTCGTATCTATGTTGTCATCCAGCGTAATCCCATCAATCTCCAGATCCAAATCGTCATCGTCATCATCCTCACTGACGGCAGCAGCTGCAGTCGCAGCAGTGCTGCTTGCTGTGGTCAAGATCGCTGCTGCTGGCACAAATGCCGGCTTCACTTTCTCCTCCTGCTGACCAACACCACTCTGCTGCTCGATCGCATGCAGTTCCTCGAGCGGATTACGCTCGCTATTTAGTGGCAGCTGACCGGCGATGCGAGCGGGCAACTTGCGCGTTCGCTCCTCCAGCAGATGTTGCTCAACGCGGAGGGCATCGCCCAGACCCGGAAAGAGATTTGTGTACTGTGTGGGATCGGCCAGCGATTGGCCAGCCTTCTCATTGACCTTGCTCAACTCCTCACGCCACAATTCCACCACTCGCGACATTTGGCTGGGCAAGTAGGTGCGGGCAAAGAACGCCGCCTCGGGCAGACGATTCGTCTCGATGAGAATCTCCAGGCAACGGTCGACATCGGAACGGAGAAAGGCAGCGAGGAATGCAATATTATGGCGTCCTTGGGCGGAACTAGTCGCACCCACCTCCTCCAGCATCTGGGCATCACTCGAGGCCGTCGAGAGCAGCAGCAGGCCACTGAAATCGTTGGCCTTCTGCATGCACTCCTTGACAAGGGCCATGTTATTCTTGCGTGCCGCCACATCGGCCAGCTGTGACCATTTCTGTGAGTTCTCCGCCTCGCGTGCCAGCTTCAATGCGATTTCCAGCTCGCCAATTTGCAGTGCCAGATCAAATTTGTGATCCGCATCTGTGGACACCTGCAGCGCCTGCTCCTTGAAACCCTGCTTCTCCAGGAAGTGAGCGACACGCGTGCGATGCTCCTTCGGTATGGTGGGCAGCACAAGATCGGCGCGCTCAAAGTCGCGTCGCATCACGGCCGTCTGGTACTCCAGGACGGACAACTGCAGGCAGAAGCTAATCACATTCAGCTCTTTGTCGCCTAAATACAAGCGATTGTCCTTCGGCACATAACCCAGCAAGTACATGGTGCGATCCAAATGTGATATGGTCACAATCTCGCCGCCCACGTAGTAATTGATGCGATTCACCGAATTGGTGTAAATGAAGCAATCGCCCACCCACAGTCCAGTTTTCACAGACTCGGAAACCTCGCCTGCAACAGAAATAGTGCATAAATATTTTGGTTTTGGAGATCAAATGATTATTTAAAATAGCTATTCCACAAAGGCACAAGGAACCCATCATGGGTAATCACCAATCAATTATTATTTAACAATAGTCAAGGTAACTTTATCATTGGCAGCTTCATCGATTCTAGTTGAGTTAATAAAATAAACTATAATTACAATGACTCACCGAGCACATTAAATGCACTTTCCACACCATCATCCTCAAGGCCCTCCTTGGTCTCCAGCGCATTGGCGATTTGTGCCGCATCCACACCCAAGATGAAGTACGAGTCATCGGTGGCAAGGCAGACGAGGCTGCCACTTTCGTTCCAGAACACATTGCGCGGCTGCACTTCGATGCGTCGCACCAGCTGCAATGTCTCCCAGTCGTAGAAGGCCAAGCCCGAAGAGGTCTTTACGCCAAAGTAGTAGCCACCATAGATGCTCTCGGCGCCATATTCGGGCGTGAAGCTTTTTCGCTCCTTAAAATTTCGGAAGATGCGAACCGTGCCATTGTTCTCGCGTATGGCATACTCATTGCTCTCTAGCGCCCAGACAAACTCCTGAGCGGAACCAAAGGCCTTGTTGCGCAGCGCCATGGATGTATAGATGATGTATTCGCCGTCACCACAGACGACCACAAAACGGCCATTGGGATTGTGTGCAATGGTCTGCGGATAGATTTCACAGGCGCCCATATCCTTAACGGCAACGGGCAGACGCTCGCCGTCCTTGATTTCGGTGCCATCCGCAATGGTTTTCAAATTGACCTACACAAATAATAATTAGTAAGGTCTTCATTGATTGACTGTTCGAGTTAGATTCGCATATCCTCCTTAGCTTACCTGTTGCATTTCGGAATGTTTGGCCCAAATGATTTTGCTGCCAACCACATCCATGGACATGGCCGGTTCCTCGCGGCCCACCTTGATGATGATGGAGCCCTCGTCGTAGCCCAAGGCAACGTTGTTGGTGCCACGCATACTGGAAATAGTCCACACGCGCTCAAAGCCATAGTTGAGGCAGGTCTCCAAGCGGTATGTGCCCGAGTGCCAGATGCGCACGGTTCCATCTTCGGATCCAGTGAGCACAATGGGCAACTCGGGATGGAAGCAAACGGACGAAATATTCTGTGCATGCCCCTCGAGTGTTTGCACACAGGTCTTGTTCTGATAATCCCAGATCTTAACCAACCGATCGTCGGCACCAGAAATCAAATACGGCTTGTCACCGCCATGATAGTAGTCCACACAATTGACACCCTTCTCGTGCCCCTCCAGCGTAAAGTTGGCAAACACCGAACCCAGCTGCCACACCTTAACGGTACGATCCAAGGATGCGGAGGCAAAGGTGTTATTATCCTTCGGATTAAACACAATCTGCATGACATAGTGTGTGTGACCCTCAAAGATGCGCTGACATGCCCACATCTTCTCCCAGTTCCACAATTTGATAAGCATATCGTCTGCAGAAATATGATAAAATATTGATTACAATTATTTTGATCTACGAAATGTGATACGTGGTAAACGATAAGATCTTTTTCAGTGTTCGCTCTTTAATTAGAACATTTCGTAATAGGAAAAATACGAATATGTTTATTATCTTTTGTATCTAAATAATTTTTTTTAACACCAATTTAAATATTTTTCTTTTAACTTTAATAAAACAAAATTGCCTGCATAGAAAAACACGGACAGGCGTATTTAATGACTCTGATTATCATATTGATCTAGAATAAATAAATGTTTAAAAAAATCTGCAAAGCTTCATTCATTTTATAAATATGCTTTAACGTAATTGCTAAAAAAAAAAATTGTCTACCATTTATTTGAGGCTGTTCCATATTTTGAGAGATTGATGATTGGGGGGATTGATGTGCAATGTTTCATGTATTCAAATGTGTTAAAAATTATTAAATAAATGGTAAAAATTAAACCTACCGCTGCTGGTCAGCACCAGGGGCTGTGTGGGATGCACTGCAATGCAGCGTAGGTAATCGGAGTGCGCCTCGAAGGAGTGGACCTTCTCCAGTGTGTTGTAGTTGAAAATACGGATGAGCATATCATCGGAGCCGGTTATAATCCAATTTTTGCGAGCCACGAAGCGAGCGGAGCGCACAGGGACGTCGCATACCTCGAAATCTTTAACCAATTGCTGGTTCTCATAGTTCATGATGTGTACGTGGCCATTGTAAAGAGCACACAACATCCACGGCTCGGCCGGATGCAGGTCAACGCACTTGACACGGTCTGAGCGCGATGTGAGGCGTCGCTTGATGTCCAATTTAAGGGGCATCTTTATGCTGTCGTTGATGGCGTTCAATAATATGCCCTACTAAAGCTAATCAAAATAAAAATCCACTGCGGCGAAATTGTAAAATTACTTGCTGTCGTGCTTCTTCTTCTTTTTCTGCCTCTTATTAATGTGTCAGAGTTGTGGGCTAGTGTTGCCAGCTGCCACGTAAATTTGACAGCGGTGTATTTTGTGAGCGAATCGATGCGCTTACCACATAATGACCACATTTTAAAAGCTGCTTGTCAAGTTGAGTAAGCTTTTTAAATTAAAAAGAAAACAGTTTAAGTGACAATAAAACCATTTATTTAATACTTTTAAGAATAAAGGAAATTTGAATTTTGATAAACTTTTGACAATGGACGTGTAAACACTTTTTCGATGTGGCAACGCTGACGTCTTCATCGGCATTTTAAGTTCCAATTGTTGATCTGCAGGGGGGAAGAAAATGCGTTTATTACATTAGTTTGAACAAGTTACTCGTATTGTTAAATTAGTTACATACGTTTATTAAGCAGAACGTAAGGCAATCAATATGTGCATTCGTCGCCGTGAATTTGGGCTGGAATTTGCGCTACTGGTGGCTATTGTTGCCGGCAGAGCCGAAGCAACCTTATCACTTGGACTTGGTCGGTTCCTCGCTGCTTACTTTGATAATGATGGAGCCCTCGTCGCACCCCAAGGCAACGTTGTTGTTGCCACACATACTTGAAATGGACCACACACGCTCAAAGCCATAGTTGAGGCTGGTCTCCAAACAGTATGTGTCCGAGTGCCAGATACGCACGGTTCCATCTTCGGAGCCCGTCAGCACAATGGGCAACTCGGGGTGGAAACAAACAGACGTAATGTTCTGTGCATGCCCCTCGAGTGTTTGTACACAGGTCTTGTTCTCATAATCCCAGATCATAACCAAGCGATCATCTGCGCCCGAAACCAAATACGACTTGTCATCGCCATGATAGTAGTCCACACAATTGACACCCTTCTCGTGCCCCTCCAATGTAAGGTTGGCAGACACCGAATCCAGCTGCCACACCTTAACGGTACGATCCAAGGATGCGGAGGCAAAGGTGTTATTATCCTTCGGGTTAAACACAATCTGCATGACATAGTGTGTGTGACCCTCAAAGATGCGCTGACATTCCCACATCTTCTCCCAGTTCCACAATTTGATAAGCTTATCGTCTGCAATGTGTCATATTTTCAAATTGTTAAAAATTGTTAAATATGTTCATTAATAAAGAACGTACCGCTGCTGGTCAGCACCAGGGGCTCTGTGGGATGCACTGCAATGCAGCGCACGAAATCGGAGTGCGCCTCAAAGGAGTGGACCTGCTCCATCGTTTTACAGTCGAAAATACGGATGAGCTTATCATCGGAGCCGGTTATAATCCAATTTTTGCGAGCCACGAAGCGAGCGGAGCGCACAGGAAGATCGCATAGCTCGAAATCTTTGACCAATTGCTGGGTCTTATAGTTCATGATCTGTACGTGGCCATTGTGAAGAGCGCACAACATCCACGGTTCGGTCGGATGCAGGTCAACGCACTTGACACGGCTAGATGCGAAGCGGTGCTTGATATCGAATTTAAGGGCCATCTTTATACTGGTGATGATTGCGTTCAATAATAAACAATACTTTTGAAATTTTTTGCTTAAATTTTCGTCAGAGCTTTTTGCGATTGTGCCACGAATTACGCACTTCGAAAGTGGAATATTTTGGAATGGTTGTCAATCGAATCGTTGCGTTTAGCTTTTATACTCTTTATCAAGAGACAAACAGAACATTGTTATCGGAGGCAGCGGTATATCGGTATGCTAGCTAGCTCAGGGGGATGTACTGGGAGGCAAGTGAGTCACTCTCTGTATGGTCTGTTTGCGTCTCTGTGTTTGGTGTTTTGAACAGCCCACCCAATAATAAAATATTTCGTCAACTTTATTCAAATTTCATATTCTTTTCAACATTTTAATTTATAATTGTTTATTTATTTAATATCAATTAAAGTCAGGCGACACAAAAAAAAAAAATTCAAAAAGTGCGAAATTGATTAAATTAAATAAAAAATATAATTTTAAATTAGTTTTAAGAATTAATAAACTAAAATTAATTTTAGAAAAACTTATTAGATTTCAGAAGATATTTAACATTTGCTGATTGGGAAACCTCAGAAAAACCCAATCAAATCATGAAAATAGTTTGAATTACTTAACCAAAGCAGATGAAAATGCAATTGAGTTCTTAATAATAGAAGTATACGATTCTGAATTGATTGCGTGATAAAGTATATTATAAGGAATAATTAATAGTACAGCGATTAAGAGAAAGTGGGAAAAAGGTACGAGACGATCTAAAAGGAACACAAATTTACATTGAGGAGACCACCCAAAATATCTGTGTTCCAAATCTGGAACGGGTTATTAAATTCATTCGAGGAATGTATAATAAACTCTGAAGTTGAAAGGATTTTTTGAGAGTGAATTTAATTTGACTGTTGAATTTTAATTTAAGATCAAGAAGTAAGCCCAAATCATTTACTTCTTGAGAAACGATAAAATGATATAACCTTACACTTAGAGCAGTTCAAATGGAGCAAATTCATTTTAAACCATGCGGAAAAAGAAAGTAAGTCCACCTGCAGTAATCAGTGAGAGGTCGTATCATTATATATCAGGCATAACTTAACATCATCATTACTGAAATCAGTATAAAACATCGGTTTGCGACATCGGTTAGCATTTTATTCTGAAATCCTTTAATCACAAGGAAAGTAAATTCAAGAAGGTTAGTGGTAGTAGACCTATATTTCAGAAATCGTTGCTGGAAAGGTGGAATTGTAGACTTACACTGTTGCAATTGAGTTGTCAACATTTTCTCAAATGTCTTAGGTAGTTGTAATTGTTTGCATCGACCGTAGGATGCTAGGGATCTTCGGAATTATTCTTTATAGTAATCTACTCGACTTATTCCTACTACTCATATATTTATTATTCATTTCAATATTTAAAATTACACCATTGTCATTCCATAAAATCTGGCGTCCGGATTCTGGCCAAGTTTAGGTCACATTTTTTTGGCACCAAACCCCACCGAATACTTATATTAGAGCTCTAATATGGTAGGATAGGGATTGAGGGTCACCGAAATAACAATGATCATATTCGTTCGATTTGGCAAGAGTCTCGATTCAAATTCAAAATTGAATTGCCGTTTGAAACTCACAACGCCACCTAGCGGCGTGTTTTGTCGTTATTTAGTTATATCAGATGTTTGTTAATAAATTATAAGGGAATATAATGATCTGTGAGTAAGTTTAATGGAGGGGAGAATCGCCGGGAGCATGGAATAAATTAATCGTCAATTCCAATTTAAGGGCGATGGGCAAAACAAATCCGTGTAGGATCATTGCAGGAAGGGCGGGTACGCATGTGCATGTAGGTGTCTATATAGTGTTCTGTAGGTCAAGTTAATTTTGGAGTGAGTACCGTCCACGGGCAGGGTTGGAGTCGTCTGTAACAATTACAATCGACTTGATCACGTAATAAATCTAATAAGTTGTTCTTAAATTAATTTTACTTTATTAATTCTTACAATTAATTTAAAATTATATTTTTTATTTAATTTAATTTATTTCGCACTTTTTGATTTTTTTTTTTGTGTGCGCCTGACTTTAGTTGATATTAAATAAATAAACAATTATAAATTGAAATGTTGAAAAGAATATGAAATTTGAATAAGGTTGACGAAATATTTTATTATTGGGTGGGCTGTTCAAAACACCAAACACAGAGACGCAAACAGACCATACTGAGAGTGACTCACTTGCCTCCCAGTACATCCCCCTGAGCTAGCTAGCATACCGATATACCGCTGCCTCCGATAACAATGTTCTGTTTGTCTCTTGATAAAGAGTATAAAAGCTAAACGCAACGATTCGATTGACAACCATTCCAAAATATTCCACTTTCGAAGTGCGTGATTTGTGGCACAATCGCAAAAAGCTCTGACACATTAAAGGATATTTAGAGGCAGCAGGAGACGAAAATTTAAGCAAACAATTTGAAAAGTATTGTTTATTATTGAACGCAATCATCACCAGTATAAAGATGGCCCTTAAATTCGATATCAAGCACCGCTTCGCATCTAGTCGTGTCAAGTGCGTTGACCTGCATCCGACCGAACCGTGGATGTTGTGCGCTCTTCACAATGGCCACGTACAGATCATGAACTATAAGACCCAGCAATTGGTCAAAGATTTCGAGCTATGCGATCTTCCTGTGCGCTCCGCTCGCTTCGTGGCTCGCAAAAATTGGATTATAACCGGCTCCGATGATAAGCTCATCCGTATTTTCGACTGTAAAACGATGGAGCAGGTCCACTCCTTTGAGGCGCACTCCGATTTCGTGCGCTGCATTGCAGTGCATCCCACAGAGCCCCTGGTGCTGACCAGCAGCGGTACGTTCTTTATTAATGAACATATTTAACAATTTTTAACAATTTGAAAATATGACACATTGCAGACGATAAGCTTATTAAATTGTGGAACTGGGAGAAGATGTGGGAGTGTCAGCGCATCTTTGAGGGTCACACACACTATGTCATGCAGATTGTGTTTAACCCGAAGGATAATAACACCTTTGCCTCCGCATCCTTGGACCGTACAGTTAAGGTGTGGCAGCTGGATTCGGTGTCTGCCAACCTTACATTGGAGGGGCACGAGAAGGGTGTCAATTGTGTGGACTACTATCATGGCGATGACAAGTCGTATTTGGTTTCGGGCGCAGATGATCGCTTGGTTATGATCTGGGATTATGAGAACAAGACCTGTGTACAAACACTCGAGGGGCATGCACAGAACATTACGTCTGTTTGTTTCCACCCCGAGTTGCCCATTGTACTGACGGGCTCCGAAGATGGAACCGTGCGTATCTGGCACTCGGACACATACTGCTTGGAGACCAGCCTCAACTATGGCTTTGAGCGTGTGTGGTCCATTTCCAGTATGGGTGGCACCAACAACGTTGCCATGGGGTGCGACGAAGGCTCCATCATTATCAAAGTAAGCAGCGAGGAACCGACCATGTCCATGGATAAGGTTGCTTCGGCTCTGCCGGCAACAAGTGCCACCAGCAGCGGAAATTCCAGCCCAAATTGATGGCGACAAATGCACATATTGATTGCCTTGCACGTTCTGCTTAATAAAAGTATGTAACTAATTTAACAATACGAGTAACTTGTTCAAACTAATGTAATAAACGCATTTTCTTCCCCCCTGCAGATCAACAATTGGAACTTAAAATGCCGATGAAGAGAAAATGTTTACACGTCCATTGCCAAAAGTTTACCAAAGTCAAAATTTACGTTATTTTCAAATTTATGAATAGTTTTAATAATTTAATAAATAGTTTTATTGCCTTTTAAATTGTCTTCTTTTTAATTTAAAAAGTATATTCAGCATGGCAAACAGTATTTAAATGTGTAACACGTGCAGTGTTTCCTAGTGGGCAACCTCGACTAGCTCGGTATTCCCAGGGGTGGCTACCTCCAACCCTACCCGTGGACGGTACTCACTCCAAAATTAACTTGACCTACAGAACACTATATAGAGACCTACATGCACACACCAAAACAACGAAACAGCTGTTCATGGCCACGACGTACCCGCCCTTCCTGCAATGATCCTACACGGATTTGTTTTGCCCATCGCCCTTAAATTGGAATTGACGATTAATTTATTCCATGCTCCCGGCGATTCTCCCCTCCGCTTATAATTTATTAACAAACATTCGATATAACTAAATAACGACAAAACATGTCGCTAGGTAGCGTTGTGAGTTTCAACCGGCAATTCAATTTTGAATTTGAATCGAGACTTGCCAAGTCCGACAAATCAAAAAAAAATCGAACGAATATGATTATTGTTATTTCGGTGACCCTCAATCCCTATCCTACCCTATTAGAGCTCTAATATAAGTATTCGGTGTGGTTTGGTGCCAAAAAATTGTGACCTAAACTTGGCAAAAATCCGGACGCCGGATTTTATGGAATGACAATGGTGTAATTTTAAATTTTGAAATTAATAATAAATATATGAGTAGATTAGAATGACAAATAAATATACAAATTACTTAACAAATAAATAAAAATACATAAATTATCATCTATCATTTATACAACATTTACTTAAATAGTAGGAATTTGGACTGGATGTGCTGAAGCACTACGCCTGGGGCGTTGAATTTTGGTTTGGCACGATCTATTGTTCGTTTGGGTATAATCAAAGGCACGCAGTCGACTTGCACTCGACTGGACGTAGATTTGATTTAAACGCACACATTACGCCGAATTTTATTCCAAAAAGCCCAAAATATAGCGGAGGGTTAGTACACTCCCAAAGATACTACAATCTTCGTTCGCACGACAAAAAAATGTACGCGCCAAGAAACATGACCTGCCTCACTTTTCGATTTTTTTGTATTGTGCTAATTCTCCCTAACCTACAAAACGCCACCTTGCGGAAATGCGGTCACATTCAATGGTGATATCGCTGACCTTGCCACACTTTTCGTTTTTTTCAGCGATGTGGCCCTTTAAATTTCCTTTTTTCGTGGTGGTGTGCGATAATTTCCTATCGATATATACGCAAATGCAACACATTTTAAAAGCTGCTTGCGATGTTGAGGAATAACATGAAAACAGTTTAAGTGACAATAAAATCATTTATTTAATACTTTTAAGAATAAAGGAAATTTGGATTTTGATAAACTTTTGGCAATGGACGTGTAAACACTTTTTCGATGTGGCAACGCTGACGTCTTCATCGGCATTTTAAGTTCCAATTGTTGATCTGCAGGGGGGAAGAAAATGCGTATATTACATTAGTTTGAACAAGTTACTCGTATTGTTAAATTAGTAACATACTTTTATTAAGCAGAACGTGCAAGGCAATCAATATGTGCATTCGTCGCCGTCAATTTGGGCTGGAATTTGCGCTACTGGTGGCTCTTGTTGCCGACAGAGCCGAAGCAACCTTATCACTTGGACTTGGTCGGTTCCTCGGTGCTTACTTTGATAATGATGGAGCCCTCGTCGCACCCCAAGGCAACGTTGTTGGTGCCACGCATACTTGAAATGGACCACACACGCTCAAAGCCATAGTTGAGGCTGGTCTCCAAGCTGTATGTGTCCGAGTGCCAGATACGCACGGTTCCATCTTCGGAGCCCGTCAGCACAATGGGCAACTCGGGGTGGAAACAAACAGACGTAATGTTCTGTGCATGCCCCTCGAGTGTTTGTACACAGGTCTTGTTCTCATAATCCCAGATCTTAACCAAGCGATCATCTGCGCCCGAAACCAAATACGACTTGTCATCGCCATGATAGTAGTCCACACAATTGACACCCTTCTCGTGCCCCTCCAATGTAAGGTTGGCAGACACCGAATCCAGCTGCCACACCTTAACTGTACGGTCCAAGGATGCGGAGGCAAAGGTGTTATTATCCTTCGGGTTAAACACAATCTGCATGACATAGTGTGTGTGACCCTCAAAGATGCGCTGACATTCCCACATCTTCTCCCAGTTCCACAATTTGATAAGCTTATCGTCTGCAATGTGTCATATTTTCAAATTGTTAAAAATTGTAAAATATGTTCATTAATAAAGAACGTACCGCTGCTGGTCAGCACCAGGGGCTCTGTGGGATGCACTGCAATGCAGCGCACGAAATCGGAGTGCGCCTCAAAGGAGTGGACCTGCTCCATCGTTTTACAGTCGAAAATACGGATGAGCTTATCATCGGAGCCGGTTATAATCCAATTTTGGCGAGCCACGAAGCGAGCGGAGCGCACAGGAAGATCGCATAGCTCGAAATCTTTGACCAATTGCTGGGTCTTATAGTTCATGATCTGTACGTGGCCATTGTGAAGAGCGCACAACATCCACGGTTCGGTCGGATGCAGGTCAACGCACTTGACACGGCTAGATGCGAAGCGGTGTTTGATACTGAATTTAAGGGCCATCTTTATACTGGTGTTGATTGCGTTCTATAATAAACAATACTTTTGAAATTTTTTGCTTAAATTTTCGTCTCCTGCTGCCTCTAAATATCCTTTAATGTGTCAGAGCTTTATGCGATTGTGCCACGAATCACGCACTTTGAAAGTGGAATATTTTGGAATGGTTGTCAATCGAATCGTTGCGTTTAGCTTTTATACTCTTTATCAAGAGACAAACAGAACATTGTTATCGGAGGCAGCGGTATATCGGTATGCTAGCTAGCTCAGGGGGATGTACTGGGAGGCAAGTGAGTCACTCTCTGTATGGTCTGTTTGCGTCTCTGTGTTTTGAACAGCCCACCCAATAAGAAAATATTTCGTCAACCTTATTCAAATTTCATATTCTTTTCAACATTTTAATTTATAATTGTTTATTTATTTAATATCAATTAAAGTCAGGCGACACAAAAAAAAAAATGCAAAAAGTGCGAAATTGATTAAATTAAATAAAAAATATAATTTTAAATTAGTTTTAAGAATTAATAAACTAAAATTAATTTTAGAAAAACTTATTAGATTTCAGAAGCTATTTAACATTTGCTGATTCGGAAACCTCAGAAAAACCCAATCAAACCATGAAAATAGTTTGAATTACTTAACCAAAGCAGATGAAAATGCAATCGAGTTCTTAATAATAGAAGTATACGATTCTGAATTGATTGCGTGATAAAGTATATTGTAAGGAATAATTAATAGTACAGCGATTAAGAGAAAGTGGGAAAAAGGTACGAGACGATCTAAAAGGAACACAAATTTACATTGAGGAGACCACCCACAAGATCTGTGTTCCAAATCTGGAACGGGTTATTAAATTCATTCGAGGAATGTATAATAAACTCTGAAGTTGAAAGGATTTTTTGAGAGTGAATTTAATTTGACTGTTGAATTTTAATTTAAGATCAAGAAGTAAGCCCAAATCATTTACTTCTTGAGAAACGATAAAATGATATAACCTTACACTTAGAGCAGTTCAAATGGAGCAAATTCATTTTAAACAATGCGGAAAAAGAAAGTAGGTCCACTTGCAGTAATCATTGAGAGGTCGTATCATTATATATCAGGCATAACTTAACATCATCATTACTGAAATCTGTATAAAACATCGGTTTGCGACATCGGTTTGCATTTTATTCTGAAATCCGTTGATCACAAGGGAAGTAAATTCCAGAAGGTTAGTGGTAGTAGATCAGAAATCGTTGCTGGAAAGGTGGAATTATAGACTTACATAAATGTTGCAATTGAGTTGTCAACATTTTCTCAAATGTCTTAGGTAGTTGTAGTTGTTTGCATCGACCGTAGGATGCTAGGGAACTTCGGAATCTTTTCTTTTTTCCTTCTCTTTCCTAACTGTCTTTCTCTTGACAACTCCGCCTTAAGCCTCTGGTCGTCATGTCAACCGTCAGGTGGCGTTGCTTATTTTACATTAACCTTCGATAGATGGCGCTAACACACACACTCAATTACTATCCATATATTAGCCACCCATAATAACATAATGACGACATGTTAAATGTGGCTTGCCATGCTGAATATACTTTTTAAATTAAAAAGAAGACAATTAAAAAGACAATACAACCATTTATTTCATAAATTTGAAAATAACGTAAATTTTGACTGTGGTAAACTTTTGGCAATGGACGTGTGAACAGTTTTTCGATGTGGCAACGCTGTGGCTAAACGCTGACGTCTTCATCGGCATTTTAAGTTGCAATTGTTGATCTGCAGGGGGGAAGAAAATGCGTTTATTACATTAGTTTGAACAAGTTACTCGTATTGTTAAATTAGTTACCTACTTTTATTAAACATAACGTGCAAGGCAATCAATATGTGTTTTCGTCGCCATCAATTTGGGCTGCAATTTCCGCTGCTGTTGTTGCTGGTGGCACTTGTTGCCGGCAAAACGAAAACATCCGCTGTGCAGGAGGACATTGGAGACTACAAGGACTTTAAGAAACTGCTGCGCACCAAGAACAACGTTTTGACCCTGTACGTGTCCAGCGCTAAGGAGGCTGCCGCGGAATTGAAGGTGTTTCGGGAAGCGGCGGAAGCGATTCGTGGTACAGGAACCATGTTGTATGTGGATTGTGGCAATCAGGAGCGTAAGAAGCTCTGCAAAAAACTGAAGGTGACGCCCGCACCGTATACACTGCGTCACTACAAGGATGGTGACTATCACAAGGACTACGATCGGCAGCTGACTGTTGGCTCCATGATCACATTTATGCGCGATCCCGCTGGCGATTTGCCCTGGGAAGAGGATCCCGCCGGTTCGGATGTGTTGCATTTCAATGATGCCGCCACATTCACCAAACATATGCGCAAGGACATACGGCCCATGCTCGTCATGTTCCATGTGCCGTGGTGCGGCTTCTGCAAGCGCATGAAGCCGGACTACAGCAAAGCTGCAACGGAACTCAAAGCCCAAGGTGGATATCTGTTGGCCGCCATGAATGTGGAGCGCCAGGAGAATGCAGCCGTTCGCAAGCTGTTTAACTTAACTGGTAATATTTGGGAGTCCTTCAATCACCGAGTGAAATCTGAAAATCTAAGAATTTGGAGGTTAACATGATTTAATATCTTATTGAAATTGTTTTCAGGTTTTCCAACCTTAATTTACTTCGAGAATGGCAAGATGCGGTTCACCTATGAGGGCGAGAATACTAAGGACGCACTGGTTGCCTTTATGCTGAATCCGAATGTCAAGCCAACGACTAAGCCGAAGGAACCCGATTGGTCGGCTGATACAAACTCGGAAATTGTGCACCTGACAACGCAGGGCTTTGAGCCGGCACTTAAGGATGAGAGCTCGGTGCTGGTCATGTTCTATGCACCCTGGTGTGGCCATTGCAAACGCATGAAACCGGAGTACGAGAAAGCCGCACTCGAGATGAAGCAAAGCAATGTGCCGGGCGTGCTAGCCGCACTGGATGCCACCAAGGAACCGTCTATAGGCGAGAAATACAAGGTTAAAGGCTACCCAACTGTAAAATACTTTGTCAATGGTGTCTACAAATTCGATGTGAGCGTACGCGAAGCGTCCAAAATCGTTGAATTTATGCGAGATCCCAAAGAGCCACCACCACCGCCGCCGCCAGAGAAGAGCTGGGAGGAGGAGGCGGAGAGCAGTGAGGTGCTCTTCCCCAATGACGAAACTTTTACGTCGACACTGAAGCGCAAAAAACATGCACTGGTCATGTTTTATGCACCATGTAAGTATTGAGTATTGGCTGTTGTTAAATATTCTGCTTAATCCTAACATCTTTCGTCCTTTTAAGGGTGCGGGCACTGTAAGCATACAAAGCCGGAGTTTACGGCCGCTGCGAATGCGTTGCAGGATGATCCGCGCGTTGCCTTTGTTGCCGTCGATTGTACCCAATATGCGGCATTGTGCGCCAAATACAATGTACGCGGATATCCCACCTTAATATACTTTTCATACCTCAAAACTAAGCTGGAATACAATGGCGGACGCACCAGCAAAGATTTCATTGCCTACATGAACAATCCGCCCAGCGGAAAGGAGCACACCGAACTGTGATCAGCCTCAACATACACCTATCAAATCTCTATCTCTCCCTCGATCAATCTCCGTAATCTGTATTAATTTTATATTTACAATTTCTTTCATATATATTGTAAAATCCCTTGCTAAGTATATTTCTAATCTGCTATTTTATTGGCTGTAATACTATTGAAAATTGATTTAACTCATTAAGAATTTAACTAACTCAAAAGTTGATTTTCTTCGATATATTTGCAAGGGTATCTAAACTTCGGCAATCCGAATGAAATCTTATATAGTAAACTGTGTTTATGAAGCAAACGCGATTAAAATAACTAAAACGGAACAAAATGTTGGCAAAAATTATGATTTTTCATTGGAAAATTGATCTAATTTGTATTTTTATTTTGGTTACTTATAAAAAAAAAATGTAATTTGTTGTAGATTTTTTTGGTTAAAGAGGGGGTTTCCTTTATATTCGCATGTATAATTTCAGTAATTTCTATATTGGTTGCTTAAAAAACAAGCTGCTAAACTTAAAACGTATGTTTTGTTAGAATATGTGTGTGTTGTACATGTATGTATTCTTTCTTGTGGCACATAGATTCAACATTTTAAATGCCTCCAAGTTGCGAATGCTGTTTTATTGCACAATTTTGCACATTTGATGAATATAATTTTTGTACAGTTCCATTAAACTTTATAATCCCTAATAATGCTTTAATATTTTAAATCTTTAGTTAAAAATATATTACAACATAAGATGGTAAGAAGGCCGAATCAAATTTCTGTTGGTATATTTTCATTGCTGTACTTTCTTTTCTTCTCTTGATGTCGTTGTTCGTTCAGATTTGTTTTTTTATTGCTGTCTGGATATCTGGGCTGGATTGCTGGTCGATCGCTTAGCGCTCGGATTTTGTGTCACTGTTGAGCTTGCGTCTATGTCGACTGAGGCTACCCAGCCAGCTGCCGCGTTGATCATTCGCCGTGTACTCATCGTTGATAAGGGTAAAGCTATTGAACATATCTTTCATCTTGAGGGCACGCGAGCAGGCATAGTTCTTGGTCGCCACATACATTTTGGTTAGGAATTCGGGCATTTGCTTTTGCGTTACCCATGACTTGATGTTCTGCGGTATGGGTATGCCTGGATCATCGTAATATGTGAGCACAAAGTGGAGACCGGGCTCGTGAAAGCCACGGAATGGCTTGATGACCATCAGGCTCCAATAGTCCGTGACGCGCACCTTGCCCGAAATGGCTGGATATGTCTTATGCTCCGCAGCCCGACTACAAACGAATATCATTTTTTTCGACTCATCCTTGTGGTAGCGCCGGCAATACACATAATCCCGATTGGCAAACAGGCGCGGCCACTGCATCTCCCAATAGATGAGATGCGAATTGCTGCCGGGCACTGGATCCTCACTAATCAGCTCGAGCCTCAGGGCCGTATCGTCCCACTGCCGGCGATAGTCCAAATCGGTTTGTACATGCAGAAAATCATCGGCAGTGATATCATCAAATCGAGCATAGACCTTGTATGAATAGAGCGAGGAGCGCTCCTCTCGCCGCCAAATGCTAAATTCATTTTTGCTGAAATACGGCTCCCAGTTGCGATCCTCCTGCGACTGTATAAGCATTTGACCAGCTGGTGCATTACCATTCATATGTAAAGATCTCCGGCAATTGCTGATGCTCACCGACTGATCGTCCGTTTTTTGGGGAGTGACGACGCCGCCGCTTTTCTTACAGCGCTGATTGCCCAGCAAACAGTAGCAGAATTTCATCTTCTTGAGCTTGCAGCTGTCGCATAGCTGATTCACCGGCAGTGTATTGATGAACTCAATATCGCGCTGGCACAAATCGAAATTGGCGAGCGACAATCGCTCCTTGCTCCAGTCAAATCCGTCGATGCCCCGCTGCTTCATGTTCAGACCCATAATGCCCACCGCACTGAGCATGAAACCGTGTAGCGGTGGCTGCAACTCACGGCGATAATAGGAGCGCCACAGCTGCTTCAAGCCCTGGGTGCCGTAGACGGACTGATAGAAGCTGATCAGTTGCTGCAAGCGACGCGAACGCTGCGCAACTATCGATTCGCATTGATAGCTCCAGGCGCGCAGCGTTTCCCTCGATTGATTTTTAATGGCCGACACGAGACGGTTGAGCAGCATGGCGACCGGCTTATTGATTGCTGTTGCTGCTGCTGCTGCACAATACAGGTGGGTGTGGGGGTGGCTGCTGCACTGCTTGCATAACAATCGGACAGCGGCAGCGGCTGTAATGTGATTAATGTTGCCTGTTCCTCTGCTGCAAAATTTTGATACACACACAACATACACGCAGAAGCGTCACATTTGTCGCCCTGCTTTGCCAATTGTATAATTTTGTTTTTGCCCCCCTTCGGTTGTTGACAAGATTTTTTTACTTATATATTATGTATGAATTCACGTCGTTGTTACTTTGTTATCAAGGCGCCCACATTTTTCGTTCAAAACGTGCAACCTGCAATTTATGTTGTTGTTGTTGCTGCTCGAATTGGTGTTGGTAAAGTCATAAATTGTGCAGCACCTGTTCTAAGCTGGATACACAGCCTACAAATATTTTTTTAATAAAACAAACAAACGAGTGTATCTAGTTATTGAATGAAATCTTAATAGGGATTAATATTTGAAAGCATTCAACGATGAATTTTGGCCCAATAAAGAGTGCTTAGTCGGCTAGTCGTTACATGTTTAATATAAACGAAGCTTATATGTCATATATATCTGAAGGCGCTGCAGATATTTATTTTTACACTTTGCATTTGTAATATAAATGATACAGTGTCATTCCAGCATACTTGTTTTGCAGGAGCTGCGTACTGTAAATGCGTTGTGCAACACTGTAAGCCACAAACTCGTGCGCTGCACTTTGGTTCCCTTTGTTGTTGCAATTATTTATTTATTACACCAAGTAAATGTGTGAAAAATAATACAAAAATTAGGCCATGTCCTCGCGACGGCAACGCATTAAGGCAACTGCCAATCTCAGTCAAATCAAACGCAAACCACGCAAAGAAGATGCCGATGCAGAACCGAAACCTGAACCAGAACCCGAACCGGAGCCCCTCCCCATTCCGTTCGCCAAGCAGGAGAGCGTTGAGGAGGATGCATCTGAAGTTGCATTTAAAATGCCAGCGGCCAGCAACGTCAATCAGTTGGATGATGTGTTCCATCACTCAGATCTGGAGGACAATGTCATACAAATGGATTTGCAGAAAACGGCAAGCGGATTCCCCATGTCGCCCAGCAAGGCGCAGGCACGCCAACGTGTGCGTCCCACGCCCGTGTTTGGTCAGCGACGCAACAGCTTTGTGGGCTCACCAATGGCGCCCGACTACGACGGGGATTATCAGTCGCCGGGCACGCCTACGCGCCGGGAGCGCTACCTGAGCGGCTCATCGATGAGCGGCGCGAGTGGAACGCCACAGCAGTCACTGGCATCGCCCAAGTACTTTCCGGGTGGTGGCGTTATGAGTCCTGGCATGGGACGCATACGCACCGAGTCCAGCTGCTCCGTCTACTCGGACAGTGGCAAGCAGCGGGGCAAGGGTGAAGGCGACAAATCCCAGTCGCTTGCCCAGCAGCGCATTAATGTGAAGCGTGACTTTGAGACGCGCTTCAACAAGGGCATTCCGGACAAGTCCACATTCAAAATGTTCGACATGATCTTTTACAATCCCGATAGCAATCCCATGGAACAGAAACCGCTGGTGACAACCATCAAGGCAGAGGCAACTGCCTCGGCGGCGGCAAACAATTCCGATGAGTCGAAGCCCTCATCTTCCGAATTGCTGGAGGCTAAAGCGGAACCGTCGGCCGGTGGTGGTGGCACTGCAGCCATGCCGGTGCCACAGCTAAAACTGGACGCCAACGGGGAGATGATCATCGATGAGAAGACATTGGAGATTGAGACCACTGCCGAGGTGGAAGCACGCAAAGTTTTGGCCAACTCATCGCTGATACTCATGGACGAAACAACGGGTGATAATGGTTTCTACAGGCGGCACAAGCGCACGCCCACCTGGTCAGCGGATGACACGGTTCGCTTCTATCGCAGCCTGCAAATAATCGGCACCGACTTCTCTCTGATGTGCCAAATGTTTCCCAAGCGCACGCGGCGCGATTTAAAGCTGAAGTACAAGCGCGAGGAGCGCATCAATGGGCAGCTAATCAATAAGGCGCTGCTCTATCCGAAGGCATTCAATATTCAGGAACTGAAGGATAAGCTCGAGCAGGAGGATCGCGAGCGTGCCGAGGCAGATCGCAAGTGGCAGGAAATCGTTGCAGCTCAGGCGGAAACCACGAAAAAGGTATGCAAAAAGATGAATTATTAATTGTTGCTGCTGATTGCTGATTAATCCATTTTTGATTACAGCGCCCCAAATCGCATCAGAGCAAAGCGGCGCGCAACCTCAGCGATGGTGATCTGGTGTACGAGAATGAGCACGTGACCAAGCAGAAGCTGGGCAAGCATGCACTGGCGAAGCGTCGAGCGGAGCTGGTTGAGCAGAATGGAGAAGCAGTTGGAGTAAAGCGGAAGCGTCGCCCCCTAAACCAACAGCCGAAGGACTATGAGCAAGTGCAGCCACAAGCTAGCTTGCAACAAGTGAGGGCAGGCGTAAAGCAGAAAGTGCAGCAGCAGCAGCATGAGGAACTGCAGCAACCTGTGCCTGTGCAAATACTGCCGGCCTTTCCTGCGATCATAAAACGAGAGAATTGCATCAGCGAAACAACTGAACAGATGAGCAGTCAATCCTTGTGTATGGCCAAGGGTGAACAGCTACAAGAGGAGCTAAATTCGTTGCTGAGCGAATCGCCGCGGGAGATTACGGAGAAGAAACCGCTGCGAGATAAAGTTGTCATCAATATGGACGATGGTTCGCTCAACTATGTCAGCGATGTGGAAACCCCAACAGACACTGACACCGAGGCAACATACATTGTTGACTTTATTGCGGAAGAGCCACCATTGGAGGATAGTCCCAATTCGTTGGATTCCGTCAGTGAGCACGATATCGAACAAATACTTGCAGAGCTCTCGGAGGGCTCAATGGTTTTGGTGTCCTCGTTGAATGCGGATCAAGAGGATCGAGTTGTCAATGAGATTTACATCCACGACAAGGAAACGGGAGAGCTGAGCGAACATCCGCTGAAAATACCTGAGCATATTGTTCAGTGTATACTGAATGTTATGAGTTAAGTCACAGATCAATATTTTTTCAGTTTCTCATAATAGACATAGTTTTTTAATTTTTATTCATATACACGATACATATACATATGTAAATATATATAATTTATTAAATAAAGTTTGAATTGAGCACACAGTCTGCATACGGTACGGCAACGCCGTATGACAGTGTTGGCTAACATTACAGCAAAGTACGTTTTGCAACACATGCAACTTTTGACAGCACTTGTCAGTTGTTGTCGTTGTTTTTGTTTGTGAGTAGCAAATTACAGATCATAGACACATATTCCACAAACGAAACATGGCTCAAGTTCCCTTGGCAATTGTGTCGCACAAGCGCCAGGTGTGCAGCCTTTACAAGCGTGCGGTACGCAATCTGGAGGCCTGGTACGATCGTCGGTAAGCACACGCAATACACCCATCCACAACCGCCTGATTATATAATGAAATCTTTGTGCATCTGTTTATCCTTGGTGCTAGCAATGTGTTCCGTTATCGGGCGGTCCAGATGCGTGCCCGCTTCGATGAGAACCGGAACAAGGGTCTGGCCGAAGGGATGCGTCTGCTAGCCTGCGGTCAACAGGAGCTTTTCGAAACGAAGCATTACCAACCCAGAAACTGTGTGTAGAAACTGTTATCCATTGATTTATATATATTTATATTATTTTACAATTTATTTCTAGTTGCAAATAGTGCTGGTGGCTGCGCCTTCGAGCGTGAGGTCATTCCGCCCGATTGGCTGCTGGACTACTGGCATCCGCTGGAGAAGGCCCAGTACCCCGAGTACTTTGCCAAACGGGAACAACGCAAGAAGGAGTATGTGGTCTGGTGGGAGAAGCAGTACGGCAAACCAGATCCTAAAGATTTGGGACACCATTAAGTCTAGCTTTACGAATGAGATAATGTAGTCAAATCAATTATTTGTTTCTGAATTAAAAACCGTCGAGCACCTATTGATTTCCATTGATGAATCTTTCTCCTCTTAATAAAATAGGGGGTAAAACTTGTGACCAGAGTTTGAGCAACAATTCTAAGAGAAACTGTGGCAGACACGGATAGATGATGTATATATATATTTCATGTTTCATTGCACAATTTGATTTGTAAAACAAAACTTAAGAAATCTTTAATGTACGCTTTAAGTTAGTTGTAAAGTATTTTATTTTAAGCATAAATGGGAAAGAAATGGTAATTTGTGGCTCTTCATAGAGTTGTGTATTATGAATGTGTGTGTGTGTGTGTTTATATGTGCCGTTGTTTTTACGTCTTGCTGCTGTCTTCCTTCCACTGTCCACTGCTGCTTCAGTTGAGCTCGTTGGCATCTAGGCGTGGGCGCTTTTTGCTACTGTTGCCATTCGGGGTGCTGTTGGCATTATTTGTGCTCGACTCTGAGCCGTGTTCTCGCTTCCGTTGCAGCGTCTTCTTGTCCCACTGTTGGGTGAGATAGCGCAACAGCACACATCGCTTATCCATAACGATCAGCTGTGCGGGCTCGGGCACATCCTCGGTGGGCAAGTAGACAGAAGCGCGCTTCTGCGATGTGCGTATGCCATGGTCGTTGCTCAGGTGTGTGAAATTGTTGGAGTCGTGAATGGGCAAACCTTTTATGAAGTCACTGACAGACATGCTGCTATCGATATTTCCAATTGAATTTTCTTGGCCTTCTAATGAGAATATTCACTCGCTGGCTATTTGTGCGCCGAGTTGCGTTATTATCGTTTGCCTTAGATGGTCTATAAATGACTTAAATGCGACTCAAACGCTGTGTGCAGCTTGCGAATTTGTAAATTTTTATATTTCCTCTTTTTGTTGTTGTCGTTGATAGATGTAGAAATACAGTGTGACCGCTCGCACATGCTAAAAATACTAACATTCTCTGTGTAAAGTTGACCATAATTAGACAAACACGAAAATGTGCAGATATTTTTAAAGAAAATAGTTCAAACGAATAATTAGAATCACGTTTCGAATCGACGATAAGTTGACACTAAATTATCGTTAAGTTGGTAGCTTGTTCAATACTGTGCGGGAAATTTAAAATAAAAATCGTAAGTTATTTAATAGGATAACATTAATCTTCGAATTTGAACACTGTTAAGTGCACACACTGTTGATCTACTTCGATGGCCTTTGCCAGATTCTGTTGGAATAAACTTGAATACTCACATAAAACTGAATATTTTTGTCAAGAATATGCAAAGAATTGCCTTTAATATAAATTATGATACGTAGTAGTCATGTTATATTTGTAAATAAATATTAAATGACACTTGCAAATCACCTCAAACAAAAAATGAATGGTTTACTGTTATTTATCCAACTAGACAGATTATGGGTTAAAATTGAGATGCAGCTCATTGTTTATTTAAAATTACGAAATACTTTATTCATGATTTGTATGTGTAGAAAAATTGAGTATGTAGTTTAACTACGATTGTGCCGGTTTCCATCACCACGTCGGACAACATCTTTGTATTCATCCATGCGCCGCATACGTGCCAAATACTCGGGATCGTCATCCTCCACCTGCAGCTCGACAACTGCCTTCTCCTCGTCTTCTTGTTCATTGGGATCCAGTGCGGCGGCAATTGCTTTCTCCTGATTTATCTTCGCCATTTTCTGCTCGTCGGGAAAGATGCCTTCGTCGACACGTTGCTGATAGAACTCATCGACAGACATGATCGGTAAACTGGGATAACCCAAACCAAAGACTGCCTTCTGAGCGGCATTTCGTGTTATGATAAATGGTTGCAGCGGTTTTGGCTTCGACTCGCCATGATGATGTGAATGATGTCCATGACTGTGGCCATTTCCCCGGTCAAAACCTTGCATATTTGAGAACTGCATATCTTCGTCCGCCTTTTTGTGGGCCAGACGCATTTTTAACATCTCTTTCATCATGTGCAGATTATCCAATTCCTGCTTAGCTTCGATGATGCTCTTCTGTAAATATTTCAAAAAGAATTCGCGACGCACTTCATCATCGGCGCTTTTGTTCTTGACGATATTGCGCATGCGGGACATATATTCGTCGATTTCCTTCATCTTGCGGAATTGTGCGATTTTCTCATTGCGATTGGATGCCGCTTCCTTCAATTCTTGTAGTTCACTTTTCTGCTGTGCTGCATCCGTCTTATTGTCCTGCTCCGCTTTATTCATGGGCCCATCATAGAGCTCGTATTCGTGACAGCGCTTGAGGTGATCTTTAAAATAGACCTCACCCAACTCCAGTGCCTCTGTATTATGCTGATTGTGAATCTTGGTGGTAAGCTTCCCCAAGAAATATGGCAGCAGCATAAAGGGAAGAGAATCCGTGGAGACCTCATCAATCAGTTCGTTGGAACTGAACATGCTGACTTGATTAACAATAACCGTGGCCTGCTCAAAGTGTCCCATTGCAGTTTTCACTTTATTCTGTATTAAAGATATTTTGATCATGTTTATATTTTTTGCATGGCTAAATTGCTTGCATTTTCTTACCTGAAACTCGGTTCCATTGAAGGGTAACTCGGTAGTTTCTAGCTCGTCAATCAAATTCCAGCCACTTAAAAAGATGTCGTAAAGCTTCTTTTCATCGCCATCAGGTGCGACAGCAGCATTGGCTTCAGCCATATTCAATTATTGTGAAATGAAAATATAATTTTCCAGTAAAATGTTTTGCAAGCCGCCTTTATCAGCTGATAAATGTATGTACATTGCTAAGCAACTCTGCAACAGTGTTGCAAAACGACACACATGGATATGTAGCTGCTTGCAGTGTACCGTATAATAAAAATGAATTAACGTGCATTAAGATTTTGAAGTACGTGTATGGTTTCAAATATGTATATTTTAGAGTTATAGATTTTAAAACAGTACACATCTAAGAGCATTCAAATTGCCATTTTTTCTTTTATTTTTGTCTATCAAAATCAATGGAAATTGTAAATTTGTGTCAAGCAAAGTTTGTTCCTGATTTCGTTTGTCCAAATATGTTGGCTGGCATATTAGCCCTTGAGTGATGCTTCCAGCTCGTTGTTAGCCAACAGTTCCTTTATGATGTCTAGGCCACCAATTAGTTCGCCCTTAACATATACTTGTGGATATGTCGGCCAGTCTGAATAAGTCTTTAAGCCCTGGCGCACTTCTTCATCGGAAAGAATGTCAAAAGTCTCATATGGCAAACTGTAAGAAATGTGCAGTTTAGTTAAATAAAGTAATGACATTAATAAACATACTTTGTTTCGTTAACAATCGCAATAAGTTGCTTTGAGAAGCCACAGCGTGGAGCGTTTCGATCGCCCTTCATGAATATCATTAGCGGCGCCTTATTGATGAGCGCCTTCAGACGATCTTCCAGCGATTGTCCCGTTGACGCAGCGCTGCTTGCACTTTCGGCCAGTTTTTTAGATTTGCTGCTAAGGGCTGCAATATCGACACCATCCACACGATCCACAGCGGAGCCCTTGGTGAAGAATATGACAGTCGGCACTGCCTCAATCTGGCAAGAATTTATAGAATTTTTACATTTGTATATTAGCTAAATGTAATGCACTCATTACCTGATGTTTCATTGATATTTCGGGGAATTTTTCGGCATTGAGCGTGATGAATTGCAATTTATCACCTAGAATGCTCGCCAGCTCCTTGAGGACATCTTTGACCTGTGCACATTGCTCGGCCCAGTCGGCTTCGAAGAGCGCAACGGTCGTTTTATTGGCGCTAATATATTTTTGATATTCTTCGGGATTTTCTACAGTTAACACTGACATATTTAAGCTAAATTTTGTGAAATTTTAACTCTTTAAAGCCAATTAAGTTGAAATTGCTATTTAGAATGTCAGCTGGCGAAAAGTGCTGCCCAGCGTCGTTTTATATTCAGTGTTAAGAGCCAACTAACTCCATATTTGCCAAAAAAATATACTACATCCCGATGAGTGTCGTTATGCGTGCTTACGTCATAGATGGCAAAAAATTCTAAAATAATTAAATACCATTTAAAAAAGTGCTTAAGTGATCATGCAATTTATAAAAGGATGCTGAAAGCTTTATTTGCTTAAAATATATAGGATTTTTAGATACTTTTTCGAAGTAGAAACTATAAATTCTGAAATATAACTATATATAACTATCGAATGTAAACCCAGAGCTGTGCACGGCGTTACCTTCTATCTTCTTGAATATTGAGAGCATGCATCTCAACTCAACAAGTGTTGTAAAACGTTGCGAGCGTACCATCAAAAATTAATCGATTTGTACGAGGCCGCACAACACGTGCGCCCTCCTCTCTCGTAGCAACCGCATTCAATACACACACCGAAGGAATTCGCAAAAAAAAAACGTAAAATTCCTATCGTTTAGTTAATAATCAATTATGGTTACGAGAAAAAGGTCAACTAAGCGCAGCGCCCATGTGGCTGCCATTGACCAAGAAAACGAAAGCGAAAATGACGGCGCCTCACAGCCCAAAGTGCCGAAGGAGCTGTTGGTAATTGCACAGGAGGTGAAAATAGTGCGTGCCCTCGCCTGCAATGACTTAACAAAGCGCAATCGTCAAATCCGCAAACTGCGCAAATGGTTCCAGCTGCGTGCTGTTAGCTCTTTTCCATTTAATGAGGACGACTTCATGCGCATATGGAAGGGTCTGTACTACAATGTTTGGATGTCGGACAAACCGCTGGTGCAGGAAGATCTAGCCGAGCAGTTGGCTCAGATGGTGGATAGCTTTGGCGGCAACACCGCCTGCAGCGTTGCGTATTTCAGCGCATTCATGCGAACCATGTGCCAGGAGTGGTTCGGCATTGATCAGTGGCGCATGGATAAATTTCTGATGCTTGTGCGTCGCATGCTGCGCTATATGCTGCGCGTGCTAAAGAAAAGCAAATGGTCACCGGATCTGATACAGACATTCAATACGAGCATGCAGCAATCAGTGCTTGCGGATCAGCCGAAATCCCGTGGCCTCACAATGCACTACATGGACGTCTTCTTTGAGGAGCTGGCCAAGGCGGCAAATGAAGAGATCAGTGCCGAGCAGGTTAATCTATTTGTTCGACCATTCGTACACTATATGGGCACACAACGAGATGCCAAACTGGTAGCCCAGTGTCGCACCCGAGTCCTCAACCATTTGCTCTATCAGAGCGAACTGGGTCGCGAGTACAGCGAGAAGTATAAGGCATGGAAGGAAATGGGTTTTCCCAGCGCCTCAATCGATGATGTTGAGAAGCTAGATTCTGGCTTCGATGAGGAAGAGGAGGAGGAGGGTGAGGAGCAGCAGCAGCAGCAGCAACAACCAGAGGCCATATCCCTCGATCCACGCGCTGGAAATGTGGATGTGCTTATGCCCGAACTGCCGTTCAATGCGACTTGCGTGCTGGATGAGCTGCAAACACTGCTGCGCAACAATGAATACAACAGCAAGCGTCGCAAGGGACTGCGAAAAATCCAACACATATTCGAGACATATGCGGGTGGCGAGTTTCCACTGGGTGTGCGCAACATGCCCAAGCCCGAAGGCACCACCATGGCCGATCTGGTTGAGCAGAAGATTGCTGCTGCAGATGAGTTTGAAGAGACGAGTTTTGGCACTGGCCGCAACCTAAAAAAGCTTAGCAAATCCAAGCGTAAGCGTCTGCTCAAGTCTATTAACTTTGATGAGGTCGATGAGGATAACTTTGATGAGATCATAAGCAAGGCGATGTCACCCAAGCTGCAGAAGCAAGTGAAACGCAATGAGAAGATGCGTTCCAGCATAAACAATGCCTGGGTCATTGAGGACTTGGAGGAGGAGCAGGAGGAGGTTGACGATGTAAGTGCCGAGAAAATACCGAAGCCAAACAAGATCAAGCCAGTTAAAGAGCAAGTAAAAAAGGCCAAGAAGCAGTTAACACCAAAAGCTAAGGAGCCGAAACCCAAGAAAAAGCTCTCCGAACAGAAATCGACAGCGGAAGAAGTGACTGAAACTGCACCAGTGCCAGTGGAAGTTCCACCGTCAACGCCAGCGTCAGCATCAGCATCAGCCCCATCGGTAGCTGCACCAGCTGCATCCACTGAAGAAGACATGCCCAAGCCAAGCAACGGCTGGAATGAGCCGCTCCAGCTTGGTGAAGAAGAATATTTTGTGCCGTCGCGCATGGTGCAGCTGAAACAGGCCAATAACAAACTTTTGCTTAATCCACTCGCTGCTTCGGCCACGACCAAGACGATAGTGCAGCGACAAAAGTTTGCCACGCCACAAATGCCAAAAAGCAGCGGCAGTAAACGGGTGCGCATTGTGACGAAGTGCAACAGCGCCTATCCCAAAAGCGATTACTATCGTCAGCTGAAGTTGTCGCCGCAGGTGCCGTACGATGCGAATCGGCTGCCCGGCAAGAGCGCCCTCAAGCCACACGTGCTACCCGGTCCGATTAATCCTAGTTACACGAAGCGCAAGCGGCTGTTCAACGATACGCTGTGACGTTGCGTAAACTGGCTGCGACTGGACTGGATGGAGGATTAAATGATGAACTGAGCGATTTACCGATCCGACTAGTAACCAATTTCGATAGTCTTTTAGCCCTACTCGATGTGGACACAGGATAGATTCGAATGCTTCTGTTATATGTGGACAGTTTAGCGAATGCAAATCGGGCATTAGCTGGCATAGTTAAGACGGTATATAATATGTACTAGATATTTTTACATACACATATACATATGTATTAGTATGCTTATTATGTTTCCATCATTTTTTGCTTGTAGATTATTTTCATGTTCAATATGCAACACATTTTGAATTCATACTAAAAGTGGAATAAAATTAAATATAAATGTGATTCCTACCGGCTTTCAATGAATTATTTATCTTAAAGTAACCTAAATCCAAATCCAACATCTCATCACGGGAAAATACATCTGTCCGAACGAAGTTCGCCTATTAAACTCATCTATCGAGGATATTATAAATAAGTTGTCAATAGAGTATATAGGTTCTTGATAAGCATCACTTGCTAAGTCGATGTAGCCATTCAATTTTTAATTTTTTATCTTAATGATACTTGATATAAATTCATATTTTAGGTTCATTAAATTATGACTCTGGAACAACGAACGTTTTTAAAAATATTTCTGTAAATCGATATATATATTTCAAAATACACAGTTCATTAACATTTTGCAGGCAAGGTAATAATTTTACAAAGCAGATTTTTGATTTTTTTTATTGTTCATGCTAATTTTGTGTGAGGACATTAAAAAAATAAGAAAGAATTTCTCGATAGCGGAATAGCCTGCTCTCATACGGCTCCTTGAGTTTAAAAAAAAAAGTAATATTGACAAACACAAATCAGATGCTGCAAAATGGAAGTGAAAGGAGCAGACGGAAACACATTTCTCAATAACAGGCGTTTGCCGTGAATGCAAACTTGTCTGCGAGACAGGTGTATGCACTCGAAGCAAGGTGATGAAGACCCGCCGACAAGTGCAAAATTGGCAAATATGTCGGGAACAATGATTGCTATGATGGCTGATTCCGCAACAGACCAAACGAATTCATTTGACAGTGATGCATGTAAGATTCTGTGCCAAAGTTTTTGGTGTGACTCACAGTCCGTTGCTTGTTACTGTTAACCTCAATTTTTAACTGAAAATAAGCAAATGAAATGGATATTCCATTGCCCTGATATTTATGTTAAGTTGTCATTTAGAGACATGGCTTTAAATTTAATGGCAAACATTTATTTTATTTCACATATTCACATCCTTGTAGAGAGTACTATATTTATGTCATAAGATGTGTAACGCATTGAAGAAGACGTTTCCGCTCCACCCTAAAGTATAAAGAATAAATTTCTTGATCAGCAACACTAGTCGAGTTTATATTTTGTACACCTATTTTTTTTTTTTGTTTTAGGTCTATCTTGATGACACTAGGCATATATCCGAGCTTTTGCTTTGCACGGATCCATTAAATCATATATTTGACATAGAAACAATTGGCGATAAGCCTTAAGTTATTGGATCGAGATAGGTTTAGACATACATATCCATTCTAAACAGCAAAATATTATTAGAAAAATGAAATATAAGTAATGAAATAGAAAACATCTGAAATAAATTTAGCTTAAAAAGAAAAACATGTTTTTTTTATTTAAGTTTTTATGCAATTAAATTAGTGTTCAGTAAAGAAAACTAAAACTCAAATCGACGAGTTTACTGGTTAACAATACTAATTTGATTTCATATTATCTGTGAGTTAATTAATTAATAATTAACTAATTAAAATGCGAAAAATATATATACTTTTCAGAAAAGTCACATATAATGTCAATTTCAAGACGACATTCCAAGAACCAGCTCTTGCAGTTCAATCGAAACTAAATTAATGCTAGAAGTTGCACCAGCAAGCAGCAAGCCTGAAGGGAGAAAAAAGGAAGCTGATTAAAATTCAGCAGCACTTCTTTCATTGCGCGAATCTGCGCGCTTAGGAAAAACACGATGCCGAAATGCTTCAAAGAAAATCTATAGAGGACGACGATACACTAGAGAGAAAACTTCAAATCGAGCTGTTGGAGTTGGAATTAAGGAAAAAGAAAGAGAAGCCAAATAACTAATTCAATTACTTCTGAAGTTCATAACTTTTTTCTCATTATCTTATAAGAATTGGAAAATTTAAACTATCGCTTTAAACTCAGCTTATAATTGATAATAATAAAATGGTTTAGTGGAAGAGACAGCCAAGCTAATAACTTTTTTGTTTAATTATTTTATTACAATCGGAAATAGATACTTTTCTTTTAGAGGTATTAGAAGCTTTACATTGTCGTTTTGAAGTAAACCCAGCATTTTTATGCAAAGAATTAGGCACTCAATTAAATACCATTTTCCCAAAAATTCTGCTCAATGCAATTGCAATTTGCTCTCATTTCTCTTCAACATATTTGAGTGGAGCGACTTGCAGTTAAGAGTAGAGACCACTCAAAGGATATGCAACGTTTCACTCCACTCACAGAAATGCTGAGTCAATAAATGAGCTCAACTGCGCCTAAGAGAGCACTGTGCCAAATGCACTAGAGTCATAATATATTAAAGAGACAGAGTTATATGTGAGTGTACTTTATCCGAAGAGTAAGCTCCATGAAAGCGACTCAGTTTACATTCAGTCGAGTTGCACTCTAATAAAATGAGCAATATTAACATTCGGGAACATTCACTCATTGTTTGTTCATATCGTTTCAGTCCAAATACTTATTCTTATAGATTTTTAATTGGCAATATTTGGCAAGATTTTTGTAAATTTTTTATCAGCTATAACCGCTGACTGGCTACAAAATAAATGAATAATTGTAATTTATTAAAATAGATTTATTAAAACTTAAGAATTGATTTATCTTTTACAATTAATAATTAACATTTCCTGCTTTCATACCAAACCAAGCCGAGTTATTTAAACACTTCACTGGAACTATGTCTTTCAAACAATTTAAAATATTTATTTTTTACAATGCATTGGCATATTTAGCGTTCACAACAAAATGCGATTGCATTATTTACGTGGCCATTTGCGAAAGGTTAAAATCGGCAATCACCTCTGAATTTACAAAAAAAAAAATTATATATGGTTTGTACCATGGGAAATGAACTTCCGATTCATTCAACAAAAGCACATAATAAATTTTCATATTAATTGAAAATGTTCACCACAAAATCATAGGAAAAACACGTAGTATGAAAGAAAATACCAACTGTTGAAGGAGTGGGCGGGGCTGGGCGTACAGCCAGCTGTAGTATATTTGATATGAGCATATAAATCACCATTCTGTTAGATGCAATAACATTTAATTTCCTTGAGGATAACATCTGTTAAAAGTGTTTGAACACGATTTAACAAATTAAGTTTTACATAACAATAGCAGGCGCAGCATAATAGAAAATAACACGATGACACGAGGACAGCAAGGACAGTCAGGACAAGGTGACAACTGCTCTTCTTTCTCCTCCTTAATCTCCTCCATCTAAGGCCAGGCGACTATGCACACTTTTGGCGCGTGCCTCGCACCCAATGTCGTCCTGTTGACAATCTATTTAAGATGCGTAAATCTCAGTTAAACAAGCTGCCGGCACTTAGAGTGCAGCAAATAAGTATAAACCAAACCAAACCAAACCAAACCACTCACTTGAGTTGTGTATCTATCAAACTATACGGGCGAACCATCCCTATTCATCTTCGCATTCACTTCCACATTCACATTCACATTCGCATTCACTATTGCAATTCACATGCACCCGGAGGCCCCAAAGTGTGTCTGTCTGTTTGTCTGCCTGTCTGTATGGGGCTGTGCTTGTGGCCAACTGTCTGACATGTTCTATGCACATCTTGTGTATTAAAACTTGTCGAAATTTTATTCAATTTACGTGCACTTAAGCGACGATTGTGCATTAAGATATGACGCAAAAGTTGCACAGCCTTCTTTATCTAATGCTAAGTAATAGATACGGATACGTGTTGATGTCGCAAAAAAATAAAATAAAATGTAAACATGAGAAAATGAAATGCAACTGCTTTTCCGTGTGCCGAATATTAAATACACTTGCACATAAATTTATTTAAATGTTCAACCATCTAACTAAATAGCATCTTAACCCTTAATTACTACTGGTTAGCTGAGCATGTATATTTGCAAATATCCGGAAATTTGTCTTTAAAAATGTGGTTTCAAAAAGTGATTATGATATTATTTAGTCAGTTAGTTAAATTTCTTAAAGTAACTTACAAATCTTTACTTACCACTGATTAATAATTTGTATTTATTAAAATAGATTTATTAAAACTTTGGAATTGGTTTTTGTATAATTTGTGTAATTAGACAAACATATACCTATACCAAAATAGTAAATCATATTTGTTATTTGTTAGTTAGCTTATTAGTCCTGGGCATTATTAACTGCCTAATAAAGCTTAAGAACTCTCGATTTGAAGAAAAGTGAAAATCATTTTGATTAGATTCCTTAAGCATTTGCTATGATTGGGTGTCAAGTGACAGTGGGCTATTTTTAGATCCTACAGTCACACTTTAAGCTATATTTAACCCAATCAAAAACCGAGCTTGACCTTTCGTGAGTCTTCTTGGGGGCTATAAAAAGCCCGAGGCCATTTCAGATGACAGTTCAAGAGCAGACTGCTTGTTAACATGGAGATCTCTCAAATGGTGTTCTGGACAATATTTCTAATATCGGCGGTGGTCGGCAGTGATGAATCTGAACGCTATACGACCTGTGCTCCAGAGAAACACTGTGTGCCTTACGATTTGTGCTATGATGGCATCTCTGTGGATGGTAATTTTTATCCCGATCGCAGTCGGACGCTTCTCGATGAGCAGCATTGTCACTATATGGAAAAATGTTGCAATATAACTGAACCGGTAAATAATCCAAACTGCACAGATACTTTGCATTATGCTCTATTGCAAATCGCTTAAATTTACAGCTTCCGGATACAAGAATTTATAAATACAATGATTCTATGATGACACTTCAACATTGTGGTTCTCGTTTGGATCTATGGCTCCATTTGCGTCCGTTGGGCTACAAGAAGCGGGAGGCCAAATTTGCCGAGTTTCCCTGGCTGGTGGCCATCTATCGCGCCAATGGATATTTATGCAGTGGTGCTCTAATCACACCACATGCAGTTCTAACCGCTGCACACTGTGTACAGAACGATGCCGCATCCGATTTGCATTTGGTGGCCGGCGAGTGGGATGCGGCGGTGCAGTTAGAACCATTGACGCATCAGGAACGTGCAGTGGCCGATTTGGTGCTGCATCCAAACTACACCCAATCGCCCTCAGGTCACAATATAGCGTTGCTGCTGCTCCATCCGGAATCGCCCTTTGAGCTGGCTCCGCACGTGCAAGTCATTTGCCTGCCGCCGCCGCAATTCATCTACAACTTCAGTCAGTGCTATGTGGCAGGCTGGCGACGCGCCGACTTCAATGGCAACGAGACGCTGCCGAAGCGTTCGCCACTCTTCGTCCTACCCCGGGATCAGTGTGCATCGAAACTGCGCTTGGCAATATTGGGTCGTCGCTATGCGCTCAATGATACGCTGCTCTGCACCGGCGGCGACAAGGACGATTTCGTTTGTGGCGATATGGGCGCCATTCCCCTCATGTGTCCATTGCCTGGCAGCGATGATCGGTTTATGCTCGCCGGACTGCTGGCACGTGCGACCCGCTGCGATGCTCCCCAACTGTTGGGCATCTACTCGAACATCAAGTTCTACAGGCGCTGGATAGATCACAAGCTGAGAGAACGAGATCTGGACATTAGACAATATATGTTGTAAGGCAGATTAAGCGATGACTAAACGAGTAAGCATGCTCAAGTCGAGAGAGCTCGCTGTCCCTTTCTTAATATATATATATATATAGTATAACTTTAGAGTTGATCAACATTATCACTAAGTGTATTAAATAATTGTTGGAAAGTTACACCTCTAAAATTGGGGCTTTCTTGGTATTGGAAATCGATTTCAATCGATAATCGCGAAACGGGCGGAGTTATCAAAAATATTTAATTAAATATGAGCGTTGTATGCGAGAACTTATATTCCAAAATTTGAGCATCCAGACAGGCGGACATGTCCAGATCGAAGTGGTTTTGATTCTTATCAAGAATATATATGGAGATATTTCTCTCTGTCTGTTACATACTCTTGCACAGCTTCATTATACCCTTTTAACCCATTTTTAGTGGGTGAAGGGTATTCATTTAACTGGAATTTTCCGAGAAAGTGTTTGTTTATCCATATACGTAAATATTTATCAGCTGAAAAGACGTCTGTGCTTGTAATGCTGTAAAAGTATAAACAAAATTTGAGCCAGTTGTGTTTAAGTGTAAAATTGTGTGGCGAATATATAATTACATAACAATTCAAATTACGTTAGCCAGCCTGTAACAGTGTCAGTTTTGCGAATGGATTCGATTGGATCAAATATGCCGAAATACGATAACGCAGTGCCAAACTCAACTATAAGAGCACTTCAGCTTTAAGGGTAAATGTTCAGTTTAAAATTAATTGTTAAATTGAGCGGATGCGACTATTGTTGAGTGCATTTATTGGAAATGCTTTGCGGTCGCCTGTTATTTCTGTTGCTTGATGTTGTTTTGTTGGTGCACGGACAGCTTTCCGTTTTTGGGGCACCCTACGAGGATGATTTTGTCGATGTGCAGTTCAAGGACTGTAAAAGCTGCGAACATAATTTTCGCAATATGGTGTTCCTGCTAAAGAGATCAGATGAAAGTGAAAAACCTACCATTTCAATTTATTCAATTGTGGTGCTGCTCATGTGGCTCTGCCTGGGCGTACTGGTGGTGCTACAACGTTGGCGCAAACGGATAATTGGCGCATACCGCGCGCAAGATTAATTGCCTTGACCTTTGTTAATTTCAAATCAATAAACTCCTTTATAAGCTAAAATTATTTTTAATTTCAATATACAGTTGAACTTCTTAAGTCTACCATCTGCCCCTTAAGAATTACACTTTTAGAAACTTTAAATATAAGAATTGAGACAAACTGAAATTTTAGTTTAAAGAAAATTTAAACGAAAAAAGACAAATGCGTTAATTGACCTGGGCAGAGGCACCTAGTCTCAGACAAGCCTAAAGTCGCTTAGGTGACTTTAATCAATATCGATTTAAGCAAGTTGCATCTATTCGGAATAATGGCCTTAGAATACTCATCGTTTGCTTGACAAAACATTTGTAGACTAAGAAATCAGGTAACTAAATTTCTTATAGACTGTATTGTTGGTTTTGTGGCAGTGAGGAGGAATCGTTAAAGCACATCATAGCAAATTGCGACGCCTTAACCAATTGAAGAAACATGTCTTAAACTGCAACCCGTCAAAGATTTTCGCATTATGTTTGTTGAAAGGGCAGTGTATGATGCCCATCAAAAATTATAACATTAAGTTGAAGTTAGAGAAGTTTGACTTTAATATAAGTATACATGATAGTAAATTTAGCATATATAATTATTATTATTAATTTGTATTAGAATAACCAACTATTGTTATTTTTTAATTATTATTCTGCATAATGTATCCGATTTGCACATATTCAATAAATATTCTGATTAAATTATCGATTGAGTCTTGCTGGACTTGACGTCGAGCTTCGCTTTTGATAAAGTGAAATTGTTGTAAACGTGTTAAATAGAGCAAAATATTTTGCAGCAACACTTTCAGCCAAGTGCAACTGCAACGTCGAGTCACGTTTTGAGACTCTTTTCTGCTGGTTGACCACATTCAATCTGCATGAATTGTGCGTAAATCCTATAGATTACTTAATAATTGTGCGCTTGGGCCAACTGTGTGTCAACTGGTAGAACCTTACTGGGCACAAATTTGTCTTGTCGCACCGTTTGTCGTTCAACCCACCCATGCCGCCTGTCGGTGACGGCGAATCTGCCATTTTGGATGCGAGTCTGCTTGAATTATGACCAGTTTGCTGCTGCTGCTGCTGGTGGTGGTTCTGCTTTGCATGTCGCTGGTGTCGTCTCGATGGCGTCTAAATTGAAAATTGAAAAATTGCTTATTGCAATTTGTTGCCACAATCGGCTGACCATACACAGAAGCAGCAGCAGTAGCAGCAGCAGCAGCAGCTGCACCAGCAGAAACAGAGCATCCAGCCCAATACCGTTGCCGTTGCCGTTGCCATTGCCATTGCCGTAACCGTTCACATTGGCCGTAGTCGGTATCGTTACATGCTCTTTGCGCTTTTGAACTTCCGTTCGGCATTTGGCGTTGCACGTGCCGCCAAGTCCGGACAGTGAAAAGGTCCTGCTCGGTGCAGTCCACCACCCGCCGGCTGCTTTTCGTATTTCCTGTGCGAGAATTTAGCAATATATTTTTCTTATTTCGTTTGATGTCGCTCATGCCACGACTATCTCGTTGGCATGAGGCAACTGCAATGCCAAATGGCAAATGGCAACTAGCAACTGGCAACTGGCAACTGGCAACTACTGGAAGGCGTAGAGCGCAAAAAGGAAAATAGTAGAAAGAAAACTTTTGCATATTTTGTACTTTATGCTTGAAATATTTATGATCTCATGCAATTTGTGGCTTACTTTTGGTCGAGCGACTGTCCGTGTGTCTGTCTGTCTGTCTGTCTGTTTCTCCGGCCAGTTGTCTGCCTGGTTGCCTGCTTGCCTCGTTTGGCTTGGTTTGTCTGGTTACCATGGATGCCATCGAGCGACGTGTCTGCCAATCTGTGAAATATGCTGCTAATGCACTTATTGCCATTGCTATTGAATTTATATGGCAAGCGTCTCAGACTCGGTACTTGGTATACGGTATTTGGGTTTTTGTAGTCGTCAGTCTCGTAGAGTTGTGGTCTCTGCCTCTTGATAGTTACTCGGCAGAGCAATTTAAGACCAGTTTTATGGATTAAGTTCGCCATATGTCCAGCACTCAGCTTAATTGTGTTTCCGTTGCAGCATTTGTATCGAATAGGAAACTTTTATTATTATTATTAAACGCATAAACTATGAATATAACTCATAAATTCTATTTTGATATGTAAATACGAGTATATTCTGTTCATTAGATTCGACTGTAGCTTTCTTTGTCTTTAACATAAATAAAATGTATTATTTATTTAAAATTTCTAAATAAATTCATTTTTTAAAAATTTAAGTGTAATATTATTTTTTTTAAATATATTATACTATGTAATTATTAAAAATATATTAGAAAATTCGTGTTTTTTAATCATTTTGCTGGAAATATTTTTTTTATAGTGCCATTTTTTTTATTGATGTGGAGCCAGCGAAAAATGATTATTTAAATTATAAGAAAACTATCAGAGAATAGTTGCTGCACAATTTAACATCAAAGTATGTTAATTTTATATTTTTATTTATTTCTATATCTAGTTTTTTCTATTTTTTCTATTTTCTGGTCATTGTGTAAAGTGCCACTGCTGTGACTTTTGCATTTTTAACTTAGTTGGCGCCGACGTGACCCAGGCAGATTAATTGCCTCAGTAGGATTTGGATTTGGTATGTCTGGTGAATTTGTGGGGGGTGGTGCAATGAGGATGCCAGCCAAATGTCGTTGCTGTTCGTTTTGGCCTTTTGGCTGGGTTGTAAAAACCCGACTACCTAATTTATGGCGCACTAAATGAAAAAGCCCCCAAAGTGCATTTGAAGTTGCGATTCGTGTGTCGAGTTTGGACCCGGTCCCGGTCCCGAGCCTGGTCCGATCATTGGCCAATGCAGTTAAAGCGTCCAGCCATGGTGTTAACACAGCCACGAGGGAACACACAGCTTGAAATGGGTTTGTTTTGCAGTTCGCTGCATTTGCTTACCAGACTCGATTCGATTCATTTCGATTCGCTTTGATTCGATTTGATTCCATGAGTTGTGTTTTCTGTTTTTTTTTTTTGTGTGTGGAGCGGTCAAGCCAAGATCTAAACGAGTTTGGTGTTGGTTGTTAAGCTGAGCTGTGCTTTTGCGGTTTTGTTTGGTCAAAGTGCTTAATCAATTGGAAATCTATGTGTGGACAGCGATGGCCTTAAAGGCGTTAAGTCCATGTTTTATTAGCTGCGGAAATTCTGTAACAAATTTGTGAGCAATTTTCTTTGACCAACAGATATCGGACATCAGCAGACAACCCATTGTGAATCCCCTTTGCTCCATACTGCATACGCCTGCCTGTCTATTGCCGATTCTGGGCTGCAACTGCATGCGCTTCCGCTAAGGAAATTACCAAACAACGGGCACATCCGGTTGATATGCGGCGCCGCCTGTGGAGCTGCTGTCTCCCGCACTATTTTTATTTTTATTTTTTTTTCAGCTTCTCCAGCCGCTGACTCCCGGGTCTCGCGCAGCCATTTGCAGACATGGATTACAAGAGCACAAAAATGAAGGGAAATTAATGAAATGCCTAGAAGCATGCCATTTTCTTTTTCATTATTCTTTTATTTTTTTTGTTAAACTCCCACTGCTGCAGATACTGCTTTTGTTGCCTTTGTTGCGTGTTCATTTGACAATGGCTGGGGATTTGCAATTAACGTTGGGATTTTTAAAATTGCATTGCGGTGAGATGTTTACTTTAATTAGGTCTACTTCAATTATTATTCCCAAGTCTGTGGCGAAGCGGGCAAATAGCTGCGAGCAAAACTATTTGTAGATTTATAATTAAAAGTTACTTGTAGATTTACAATTAAAAGTTACTTGTAAATGTACAAATTGTAGTTAACTGAATTAGTATGATTTAAAAAAAAAAAACAATAAAATAAATAAATAAAGAATTAAAATTGGTATTGATAATGTTTATTTTTCTATTTGATATAGTAATATGTGATTGCTGATGGTTTGTTTAAATATGAGGAGTATTAAACATGCCTATTTAGGGAGTTTGGTTGATCGATCCTTCGATACGGCCAACTCCGGCACATAATCCTTGCAGAAAGGGGCGGAAACTCTCCTAGTATTATCAAGACAGTTTTAAAAGTAAATAAATACTTATACCCGCTGTGAGGGTTAACAAATTGTCTCAGCAATTAAAACTGTAGTGTATTGAATATGCAAATAAATGTTAATTAAGAAAATTATAATAGTTTAATTATTGCTTAAGTCAACACATATTCCCGCTTAATAGAAACTTAAGAATGCAGTACTAAGTTTAGTTTATTTGAGCTGCTACCCCCAAAAGAAAGTGATATAGTCAGGGGCGTATGCAGGAGGGAGCAGGGGAAGGGTTAATTGTCCCCTTATATCCTAGCAATACATACAAGACACATTTGGCCCTTTTATAAAAGACTAGGTACGCCCTTGGCATATAACCATCTCAACTGCTAGTTGAAGCTTTACTCGTTGTTCGTCTCATCACTTTGGTTATTTTAATCATTATTTCAAATGAAGTCGACTGCTCGTGAATTATGCCAAGTGGCATAGGTAGGTCTTCTGCTGTGGCGAATTGAAAGCCAAAATTCTTTACTTGGCAAACTCATCAAAGTTGAGTTGCCTACAAGGCAGTAGCAGAGGGGATCGGCAGGGGTATATGAGTGGACTGATACTGTTGCTATATCTGTGTGTATCGCTATATATATAAATCATATGTATATATATATTTTTGGCAACTGCTACTTGCTACACTGCCGATAGAGAAATGTAGAGCTTAAGAATGACTATAAGTTGTCTTGAATTTGTTTGCGTTGCTGAATTTTCATTTCAATTTTCTTGCTGCAGTTTTATTTAATCTTACTTGAGGTGCAACGAGTGCGTTCGAGTGTTTACTTTGCGGAAGTTGTGGGTGGCTTGGCAGGGAAGAGGGTGGGGAAAACGTGACATGTTTGCACTGTCGGTTGTATTTTGTTAAATATATGCGGCTTAGGTAGACTCATTCATTCGACTGTTTTTCACTGTTGATTCTTCTTTCCCATCGACTCGAGCCGAGTCGCATTAGTTAATTTGTTGCATATGTTGCATATAAATATTTGAGTGGATTTGCCACAATTTGTGTGTTGTTTACATTTGCAAATTAATTACGGAAATTGCATAAAGCTCGCAGTTTGACTGGAGTTATGGACTCCGATTTCTTCTAGCAATTCTGGTAAAGAACTTTGGCCATTAGTTTGCCATTGTTGCCGTTGCAATGACAAAAGTTTACCAAACAAAACTGTTATTCCCAGTACCCAGGGCTGTGGCTCGATTACGATGACGATGTCTTTGGCTTCGTTTCCTGTTCCGCTTCCTGTTCGCCGCCTCAAACGCCACTTAGAAGGCGTTCGAGCACCTTTTTCTTTGCATATTTGTTTTGAAAACTTTTCAATTGCTTGCTGAATTTTCACACAAATAAATACGCACACTCACACACATACAATGCTACAAACCTAAAGACAGGCAGAAAGGTGGGGAGATCCAGCGAGAAATGGAGAAAGTTTGGTAGACTCTCACACAAACAATTGTCATGGCAAATATTTTGTCTATTTCTCTTATCCTCACAGCTCTGCACTTTTCATTTGCTTCGTTCGTTTTTGCCTTTTGCAATTTGCTCCCAATTGATTTCAAACACTTCAAATTTATTGGTTTTCAAAAACTTTACGAATTTTATTGTTTCCGCTAATTCTTTTGTCCAGCTCAGCAAAATACAGCCGGCCAGAAAGACAAACATCTGAACATTCAACAGTCAGTCCCAAAAAAAAAACCCCAGAATATAATCCTTTCTACCATGGAGAGGCTACACACTTGTCTACACTCGTCATAGGTGGGGAGAGCTGGAAGCTCATTGTGCATCCTTTCGGCTATGAAAATGGCATAGAGAGATATATGCACAAAAGTTGGACCGGATATGAAAGTCATTGAAATGAAGCACTTTTAGATACTTATTAGGATTGGGTTCTGTGTGTGTGTCTATGTCGGTGTTTGTGCTTGGGAATTGCATATGGCGGGCATTTGAGATTCGCTTTAATAAGCAAGTAGAACGTGTGTCTTTGCTTTAAACCACAGCCATATCTTAAAGCTGCTAACGCCTCTACCTAATGATAATTTCGGGGTGAGTTAACATCTAGTGGATTACACAATATGATTAAATTCGGGAATTGGTCTAAAAACTAAAGTATGTATGTATCTATTAATATATTATTAATTTTATTTCTTTTAATTTTGAATTTTGAATTAAATTACTTCGTTATAATTTTATACAAGTAAATTTGTAACTTTAATTTGGTTTTTAAATTTTAATGTTTCTTAGTATTTCCTAAAACATTTTTAACATTTGTGAACTGTTTTTAGTAGGCACTAAATAAAAATAAAATAAATAATACATCTAAATATGTAAATATTTAAATTTAATTTTTTAAAATTAGAAATCCTCTTATTTTTCAGGAATTTATTTCTTAAAACAAAATATTTATTAAAATGTATGTCAAACCTGTCTTAAAAAATTAGACATTCTTTTTTAATATGTTTGAAAAATATGCCTTGAAAAGAAAAAAAAAAACTAATGTTTGGAAATACACAACTCTCCGTCTGATATATTTAAATAAAATATATTTATTTTAAAAAAACTTTGTGAATAATAGGGTGATTAACCATTGTCACCAAAATTATGGCGATTTTATAATGTTAAAGATTTTTTTCTTTTTTTTTTTGCTAGTTTATTATATATTAGAATTGTGTAATTCCTTATAAAAATTGTATGTTGTGAGTTGATAAAGCCAGGTACATCTGCTAATTTATAAATCGCTTCTTTGAGCATGAATACATACTTTATATATACATACATATAGATTTACTTTGGATAATGCAACGGATAGAGACCATATTAAGTTGCTGTGATTTAAACAACACAAACAGATCCAGCTTGATTGTTTGTATAACCAAAACAAAATTTATTCAATTATTGCCACAATTCTTTTACGGCTTGGCGCGCAATTTTCAAGTCAGCTGGTAATATTCGAATAAGGACAGCAACAGCTGCTCCTGTGGTTGCCACACACTGCGCATGTCCTTTGAGCAGGCTCAGCTGCTCTTCGTTGTATACAGAGAAAGAGTAGAAGAGATGCAGTTGAACTTGACTGTTTTGACAGTTGGCATAACCAACCAGTCGAAACAACGAAAGTGTGAACAAGTGTAAAAATCTGTATTAAAACCTAGAGTGAAAAGCAATTACTATATTTAAGGCTGTAATCAAGCTCACAATAGTGCTACCCAAAATGTATTAAAAAAGGTGAAAGAAGTGCAAAGTGTAGCAAGTTCATGAGTAGTGGCCAAAACGGAATCGCACTCTTGTCTTAAAGCCAATTTGCTTTCGTCTAGGTCAAAGTTGGCAGTTACTATTATTTCAGCACTGGACTTGGTTAGCTAAAAAATTATAGCTTTGAATATCGAATGCATTTTGCTAATCAAAATTTGAAATCAGAATCACGGAAATGCGCTGCACTGATTTTTATTGATTTTTCCTTTTTAATTGGCCAACAAGGAAAACTCTCAGGCAGCTGCGTTGACGCTCTCACTCTTTCTTGCTCTCCTCTCGCTATCCCACTCTTTCTCTCTCTCTCTCTCTCTCTCTCTCTCTCTCTCTGTCTCTTTGTATCTCTTGCACTCTTTGCGGCTTATTCAGTTTTGTTTTGCTATGCGTTTTCGTTGCACTCTTTTTTTGCCTACCAGCTGACACATTGGTTTGCTTTTGCAGTTGCCACAAAAGAAAAAGCCATGCCAAATACCTAGAATCAAGTGCAAACACCCATAAGTCAAGCCAACCCACAACAACATCCACAAGTGTCCAAAACTAACCACGTACCAACTCACCCACCCTCCTGCACACCGCCATGTTAGGCAGCAGGAGCCCCCCATCGTACAAACAACTCGCAACGGGAACGGGGGGCTCCGCCAGCGCCTCCACTTTCAGTTCCAGTTCGAGTTCCACTTCAAAGTCGTGCAGCAACAGCTCCCAAAGCGGTCATCACTATCAACAGGCCTACGTGGGCCATTCCCACACCTGTTACCACCATCAGCAGCAGCAGCAACAGCAGCAGCAGCAACAGCATCATCATCATCATCATCCTAGTCACGCCCACGGGAGCCGCACCTCGCTGACGCCTACGATGAAGCGCGGCAAGAAAAACTGGGGCAGTCGTGAGAGATCAAGCATGAGTTTTCTGATTGTCATTCTCTTTTTTGCTGTCTTTGGCCTCATCATTTTAACAGAGGTAAGTTTAAGGGACACTTAAAAAAAATGTATTTAAGATATTTAAAGGAAGACAAAAGCTGTACATTATTAGATAAACACAAGTAAGAATGATACGAGATACTCTAAACTCAGCTATTAAATATATTATTCTAAGTCTATTCGCACTCAAATGTAAGCATACTTGGAAGTACTTTCACCAGCATCTGCTGACAGTAAGGAGATCAACATGAAAATATGTATCGGATTATATCTGGTGTTTCTTATCCGATGATGTACACAGTTATTATAGTTAATCAATGTTATGTCAATGCATGTTAAGTATCTATCGGAAGGATCTCCCTTTAAAATTTTGGTTTTGTCTGCTATCAGGAGTTGATGTGGATCGTTGACAGGCAGGCCTGGTTGTTGATGCAGATCAAGAATGTCTAACGTCTAAGATGCTAACTTTTGACTGTAACATACACAAAACCATTATACACTGTTTACCAAATTTTACTGGGTTCAGGAAATCATTACATCTATCTCTAAATAGACGAATAAACAGTCTAATATGACTGCTCTTATCAAAGATTACAACAGCGCTATCTTTCAACAAGTCTTGACAATGAAAGTTCGTAATAAAAAGTCAAAGAAATATTAAAGTAATACACTAGTTTCTACTCATAAAGTATGCATTAATTAATTACCATATTGCAATGGATTTATGATTGCAATTAGCTGGCGTTAAGAATTCAGCGTGCAATTATTCACAGACCAAACCCTAATTAATATGCTAAAAGTGAAGCTGCAAATTAGCTTAAAATTCAAGCGAAGGTCCCTCTGTGGTCTCATTGTGCCAGCAACCCACTAACTAACATTATTTCTATTCTATTCGCATGCACTGCAGGTATTCATGATCGATGAACGCTCCCACAGCGGCTTGATGGCTATGAGGGCGGGCGGTGGGGGTGGCGCCAGCCTGGGCGGCCGCATCGGCGACTCGATGCCAGATTATGATAATGTTAAGGTAAGTTTTGTTATGCAAATGAAATTGCAGCGATGGCAGCGACGGCAGCGATGGCAACGCGTTGCCAACCAAATGGTCAACAAATGCTGTTTATTGTTGTTGATCCACCTGGCCAAACTACAGTTCGTTGCAACTATCAGCAGCAGCTGTGGCAGCAGCAGCAGCAGCAGCACGAACGGGGACAGCTTTCAGCTTAACTATTGCGCCCATTTTTATGGTCTTATGGTCTCTTTGCGGTGCCGTGGGAAAACAAAAGATGTTGCCACTCGCCATATTTCGCTGCATACTTTTCGGCTTGTGGCAGAGATTTGCATATTTAAGCAAGCTCCACATCGCATAATGCATATGATTTACTTTTTCCTCCTTATTTTTTGCGAAATGGCACCCAAAAATAAAGCAGACTTATTTGGAACCTGGTGCAGTGCAATGCACTTAACTAGCTTATGACAGTAAAAACATATATGCATATAGAGTATGATAGTATTGAATTGTTGTTTTATAGTTACGAAAATTCGAAATAACAATAAAAGCACATTTCTTAGTGAAAGAGGATTATATGCCAAATTGTGTCAAATATAATCCATAAGCTTTCTCATCTGAAAATTGCATTTTCCTTTTGAAAGCCACAGCTAAAGGATGAAATTGTCCGCAAATGCGACCACTAAAAATGTTTATTTTGGCGATAAAGCACATCGCTAGATTTTTATATATTTTCACAGATTTTTCTTTATTATGCTTGCCATTTATTGAATTCCTTTTCTTGATTGACAATAAAATTGTGTTCACAGGACGACTACGATCTGGATGACAGCATTTTGGGTGATAATAAATTAGGTTTTATACAGTTTCGTGACAATAAACTTAAAATTCAAGGTAAGTGTCAAATGGCAATCAGCGCCAGACAATGGCCCATAATGCAATCAAAGACAGCAATGGCTTGGCTAACAAAAGCGACCCGTTACGTATACGCCTTATATCTGATGCTATTTCATTTTGTATTCGAACAGATGCCGCAGGCGTCGACGGTCAACATCCCCGCTATGCGGGCATGATGCTCAATGGCGCTGTCGGAGCAGCAGGAGTGGGTGGAGGAGCTGGAATCGGTGCTGGCGCCTTTGGTGTGGGTGTTGCTGGCGGTGGCAACGGCCTCAACATGCCATTGATACCCTGGGGCCAACTGCTGCCCGCCAAGGTGGAGGAGACACTGCCACATTTTCCATTTGGCACCGCGCCCAGTGACGGCGCCTGGCAGGTTGTCAATGGGACCCGCTTCAAGTTCTTTGTCTACTCCGCCTACTTTGATCGGCGAGATGGAGCCCGCCTTGTGCGCGTCGTGGGCGCAACCAAAACACGTGGACCAGAGCGCGTCTGGTGCCGATTTTGGTATGGACCAACGACACACAACAGCAGCGAGGCATCCTCATCCGCAGCACGTGCCAAGTACACCTCAGCCACGGTAATGGCTCGCGTCAAGGTGAGTTTCAGCAACTGACCGATTACTTTAGGGAACCTTACTGTTTAAGGTTAGTTTAGGTTTAGGTTAACTGTGTATACGGAAGAGTATAGCTATCTAAGCTATACTCGAATTCGAGTCACGATTAATTGAAATTATTAAACAAAAAACAAAAGAAAATGTTTTTGCTCTTATTACATTTTTAAATTTCCTTTGCTTAACTTAGTTTGGGCTTGTCGTATTTATACAGTAATAATTTTGCCCCAGAGCTAAATAAACAATGATTAATGATTGATTTATTAATGCATCTATAGATCATTCGAGAGAACTGGAATCTTAAGTACAGCGCCTGCTTTGTTTTGTGTCCGGTGCGTGCCCCATTGTTGGATGTGCCCCAATATGTCAGCGTTGTTTCCAGATTGAGGGCACCGCCTGGCAATTTAATAACGTTGCGCAACACGGATCAGGATGTGGACTTTGCGGCGTCCTCTAGCAATGGAAGTGCCACTGGCCCCAATCGGCGACCCTTGCCGCATGCACCACCCAGCGGCGATCAGATACCGGATCGCATGGCCGTTTGTGTGAAACCGTTTCATTTCAGCTATGACCAGGCGCTGTATCTGATGGAGTACCTGGAGTTCTATGCACTGCTGGGCGTGTCACACTTCACCTTCTACAATCACACGCTCGGCCCGCACGCTTCCTGTGTGCTGCAGAGCTATCAACGTGGTCAGGTCCCTGGCAATCTAACGGCCTTCGACTGGGAGCCTCTGCAGCCGGCCGAGGCGGCCAACAATGCAACGCCGCGTGTGCTTAAATCGTTGCACTACCAGAGACCCACTGTCAGCATTTTACCCTGGAATTTGCGCATGCGCTCTCAGAAGGAGATACGCACCGAGGGCCTATTCGCTGCTCTCAATGATTGCCTCTACAGGACAATGTATCGCTATAAGTATTTGGCTCTGGTCGATCTGGATGAGTTCATCGTGCCGCGCTACACGGACACGCTCAACGATTTGCTAAGGTGAGTAGCAGCCACAAGGCAACTGGCTACTTAGCGGGCATAGAAGCAGGCAGGCAGAAGTGAGATCCTTAGGAATGTTTGGGACAGTTGGAACCAAATTGTCCTTCAATTAGATAGTACAATCTCAAGCATTTTAAGAATTGAAGTAATACCAATATGGAACAAATGACTTCTGATACTTATCGATGAACTAATGAGGAAATCGCCTATAAAGTCTATTTATAACTAACTTCTGATGGTGTTCTATTGGAGTTTACCTCCAGCTAAGGGACAGTGAGTTGCTTGACCCCACTAAAAAAAGTCATGCAAGTCAAAATTGTTGAAGGAATTAGGAAATCTGAATTGGTTTTTTGTATCCAGGACTATATTTGAATAAACAATAATCTCAAACTAATCATACACTTTTGTTCACAGCTCTCTTAATCAGCGCTTTCGTAATCGCAACACTGGCGCCTATTCGTTTCAAAATGCCTTCTACTATCTGCAGTTTGCCGATGATCCGCTGGCCAGTTCGGGCATATCGGGTGGCAATGATCAGCTGGGCAGTGTGCGTGCCTCCTTGGTTACGCAACGCAAGACTCGCAGGTGAGTTGGCTGTGAATGCGTTGAAAAATGGTGTGTGACTATGTTCATTTACCCAACAGGCGCTACAAACTGCATCCGCAGAAGCAGCGCTCCAAATACATATGCAAGCCAGAAGCAGTGGTTGAGGCGGGCAATCATTTTGTTTGGGAATTTTCGCCAGGAATGGGATCGTTGAATGTGCCACCAAAGGAGGCCATTTTGCAACATTATCGAGTGAGTAGAAAAGTACTGCATAAATTCATAAACTGAGAAACAACATTTGTTCAATATTAATACTAACAATTAATTATTAGTTTAATTTAATTTATATTAAGTTGTCTATTATTTTCAGACTATTTATTAAAACAATAAGAAACGGACATTTTTAAACTTAATAATTGTCAAATCTTATGTTGCCTAAGGACGGTCTTGGGTACTCTAGGGTTATTTATCTTTGAATATTTTCAATTCAATTAATTAAAATTAATAAATTTGAACAAATCTATAAGAACTTAAATTAGTATTAAATACTAATGTAAACATTTAATTTATTATGCTGCGTAGGTTTGTGAATTCGGAGGCAATGATTGCATTAAGGCGCCCTCAATTTTGGATCGCACCACAACCAAGTACGTGAATCGCTTGGTGCAGCGCGTCGATGCCGTTTATCGACATTTGCGACAACGTTGCGATCTGCCCGCACTGCCCACGATACCGAGACGGGCCAATGCCCAAGCGGACCAGCAGCACAACGAGAAGCCAAAGTTACTACAGCAAATGCGTGAATTGAATGCACTCAAAACGAACGAGCAGCTCAAGGAACAAACGAGTGCCACAACGAAGCAACCGCAGCTGGAGCAGCAGCAGCAGCAGCAGCAGCAAGAGCAAGAGCAACCAAAGGCAACGATAAGGAAGATGACGACGACAACAACAACGACAAGGACGACACAGATAAAGCAGCGAAATAACGGTAATAGCAATGGCAACAGCAAAGCACAGAATCCACTCAAAGCAGCAAGCACAGCCAGCACAGCGAGCGCAGTGACAAGGACAACAACAACGGATGCCAAGCAGCTGGCGCCACCGGCAAGTGTGCGAAAGAAACGGAAGATGATCGTCTTTGAGCTAAATGATATGGGTGCTCCGATAGCACGTGTGGAATACCACTGAGATGAAATCGAACTGATTGGCGATATAGTGAGTCACGCGTGAGTCGTGAGAGTGCGTGAGTGCGTGAGTCGTGTGCCAATTACGATTAGTTGAGTTTTAGCAGCGAAGAAAGCAGAGCTTGAATATTTTGAGAATAGATTTTAGTGTTTGGGTTGTGCTTCAGAGCGGTTGTTGTATTACATTTTGCTCAATGTCATATCAAATTTGGAAAATGCGAGAGAACAATACCAAAAAAGTCCATTCAACGAATAAAACTCTCATTGTTTTTTAATTTTGTATGACAGTTAACCATATGATTTTATTTACCTTTCGTATACTAAATAATGAGCATTTAAATTAACTTAATTCATTGGTCTGTTGTTTTGGTCATCCTAAAAATAACTTTAAATAGAATACATACAAAATTATTCCTATGCAAAATTCTGAAAATTCCTAATAATAAAGTCAAACTGTTAGCCTAAGTTTAGTGTAAGCGCCCAAAATTCAAAGACAAAAGCCCCAAATACTGTTAGTTGTACGTATATATATATATAGATACATACATATATACATTTTTTAATTGCAAAGCGTTTGAAGTTATTTTCACAGCACCTTCGAGCTAAGCACAAAAATAATGAAATAAATACATAAAACCAATAGGATCTACACTTACTGAGGCACTTAGCTAGTCCCCTAAATCAACTTGTATTGCGATCAAATGACAGAAATACTAAGTAATTAAGCAATAAACAGAATCGAATTTTAAATGCTTCAAAGTATCTCACATATTTCTATATTTTATTTTTGGCTTGAAACCGCAATATAAGAACTTAAGACGCATCTACTAAACAATTACAAGAATATTTATACGAAACAGTATTTAGTAATAGTGCTCAGTAATAAAAAATTAACAAAACATACCCAACCATATGGGAAATTGTTTGAAAATACATTGCTCAGTCTATTTATATGCTGGTTGGGGTTGTCTTGGAGATTTTTACGATTACCCCTTACACTTTATAGCTAATTTTGTAAACATAATTATAGCTTAAAGCATTGCTAAACTTTCGTCAAGCTGGCTAAAAGCTCTTATAAATGCCTCATATAACACAATTGGAATGCAAAATATGACACTTTGTTGACATAAACTGGTATAAAACGTTATATTCGAAGAATTTTCTTGGGAATCTGGAATAAAACCAGCTTCTCGTATTACGCATTGTGAACCATAATAAAAGCTTGATTGCTTTTTTAGAAGCATATTGCACAATTTCAGATATAATCTGCAAGCTCGAATTTTACAAGTACAAAGCAAATTATGGTATAAGGAAAGATTTTATGGATAGGACTATAAGCGTTGGTTGTATAAATTCCCGTGTAGAGTAATGAGGCAAGTAACACTCAAAAGGGGAAATGAGAAGCTTTCGTAAAGGATGAGTGAAAGTTACTTGATTAATTTATTATAACTCTCGAAATTTATTGCGTATGCGGATATTAGTATTATATATATTAAGGTTATATATATTAAGGTGTGTTTAAGGTGTGTTGAGTGAACTCCCTGGCAAAATGTGAAGTTCCTCAAAATTCGCTATATTCTTGTATTGTTGTTACTTGAAAAGAGTCGATAACTTATAGTTGCAAGCTGTATTTTTAGTAACAGATATGAAGCATGAGTATGAACTGTTAGAATTTACACTCTGGTCAGTTTTACACTGGCCGATAAACTCGGAATAAACTGGAGCCGAACTCAAATTGCACCAAGAGCAACCGCAACACAAGTTCAGCTACAAGGACCAGCCCAAACTCATGCAATTTAAAACTATGATTCACAAGGGATGAGAGTTATGTCGATGAAACCAAAACAAAAAAAAGATACCTGAAATGTAACAGGAAGCAAAATGACTTAATGCCCCGCGATTGCCATTCCAATGGCCAGACACTGACAAGTGGCAGCATTTCGGTTTCGCAACGGCGATGCACTCGAGCAAGCGGGGCACGTGGCACTTGGGTCAGCAGAAAATGCTGAACGGTGCAGCAGCAAACGGTAAATGGAGTCATAATTGCAATGAAATCGAAAATGAAAATGGAAATGGAATGCATGCCACATGAGCAGAAAATGTTAAATAAAGTTATTGATTTATGCATTGAAATTGTGTTTTTCTCATGCTAATTTTATTGACCCACTGCGAGGACTATTGTTGTTAAGGTGTTGATAACAGTGTTTAAAGTTATTATATTGCATTATAGCTCTTGCCCTCTTACTCTCAAAAGATCTTCGTATATGTATTGAGTGAGTATTAATTGACTCTTATTCCATTATTGTTGAGGAGAGCCCAGAGTTTCTGGATGATTTTGCAGATTCTGTTGAGAATGATTGAAATATTGAATAAGAATAGTCTGCTCAAAAGCATCCAATATTTATTTTCAATTTATGTTTGTTTCAATTGGTAATTAATATTAAGAAATAAAGATTAATAATTTAATGTGCAACAATTATGAATTCTTATTTTAACAACGGTTCTATTTTAAATTCAAACTTAACTTTTTTTATATCTTGTTTGATATTTGTCGCCTATTACTTTCAGTATTTTCGGAGGTTGCATTCTGCATATTTTACACAATAATTTATTATGTTATTTTATATTTAATTCCAAATTATGTTGCTTGAACTGATTTAATTTGGTAAATTTTAGCATGAACAAAATGCGGGCCAAAGGCAAAGAAAAGTTTAAATTAATAAGCCCATAATAGGGTGGCCATATTAATATAGGGGCTAAAACTTTAGACGAAATTAACTTAATCGACATTAAAGGTATCCGTTTTGGTTGTGTTTGTATTTCGTGTGCTTCACCAAAACTGGCAAGGTTGGATGAGGATGTGGACTATTGGAAGTTGTTTTCAAGGTAGTTGGGAGATAGAAGCAGCATAAGCATTTTATTAGTCTACTGTTTGTTTTGTTTAATTATGCTGTCATTAAGTTTGTACCACACACACACATACAGGCACGCACGGCAACGCACGCAAGGACAAGGACAACTGTAAAACCGACGGTTACATGTCTAAACGCAATTATAGCCAAGTGCCGAACAAAGAGCAACGGACATTTGACAGAGACGCCGCTATAGATATGTGTGTCGGAATGCATGCATGTGGAAGTACTTAAATACATACATACATCTATGTATTATATACTCTTAATGTGGTTGAATTGCTGCTGGTAAGTGGGCAGACTTGATATCCACCATTGCCACCGTCCTGCGAAAAGTCGCGGTCTGTTGGACACTCTCGGCTAGACATTTAATTTGCATTTTCCACTAATTGGCTTGCATACGACACATTCTCGCTTCGCCTAATTAATTTAATTAGAAATGTATTTCGGCACACAGAAGTTTCCTACTTGTCTTCCTTGATATGTGTGTGTGAACAGGGGCTGCATAAGCCATTGTGGACACTGTTTAAGCTTATGATCATTAAATGTTCGTTAATTCTTTTTATTATAAATATAGTAACATTTGCTCACATTCAATTTTACTTCTATGACTACTTGTAAAAATAAATTAAAAATTTGGATGTTTTTAGTGCTTCCGTTTTTTTTCGAACCGATAAAAGGAAGTAAAAATGCTATAGTCAAATGAACTCGACAACGATTTTTATTCTAATTTTATTCTCAAATTTCCCAATAAAAAACTTTACAAATATAAGCAGTGGTGGAAGTGCTGTCAGTTCTAGTGACACAGCTCCGACTGTCCCCTTCTCGCATGCTGATAAAAAATAGATTCATTTGACAATACGTTTTGGACTTGGGGATTTCTCACAGTTGATGACTAATATGTCAGGAAAAATAATGTATGAAGAAGGCATAGCTTTTAAAATTTTGGATTTAACTACCATCGGAAATCGATTTATATCGATATTCGCGAAACGCAGTCGGACAATTCTCTGACTCTGCAATTCATCCAGCTGATAATAAACTTTTTATTACTTTTTGGGCTCAGAGTATAGAAACTTGATGAAATGAATGATGATAGCTCGTACAGGTATTTGCTGTAGAGAGCTAAAGATATCTCTTAAGACTTTAAAGATATATTAACTATACTAACGGTTAACACCAACATTGAACGGTTTAAGTTTTTATTTGCAAATATTTGTATTTGTATTTGGATAGTGGGTTAAGAAATGCATTCAGATTTGAAAATACCTAGTCTATATTAGAAATTTGAAGCTACTGCAAAGATCATGCGAGTCGTGGCCTCATTTTCACTTTTGCCCATCTATGAATCCATGGCTCTTTGTAAGGTGTGCCTTACACTCGGCGCTGCTATGTCGAGTATCCTTTTATGTTTTTATGCTGACCTCAGTTTCTGCAATGAATGGCCGGGCAATGGAGTCTGGACAGGGATGCTGCCATGGCGTGGCAATCGCGGCCATTAAGTCATTTTGTTTCCTGTAACATTTCCGGTATCTTTTTAGCAACCTCATGGTCTGGGTGGTGGTGTTGCTGGCCGGACTGGACGAGCATACTGGCTGGTTGGCCCTCGATGATGCCACGTTACTGTGGAGGTCTGTAAATGCTTTTAAAGTAGGTGGCTGCTTGTTCAATTTATTGCTCACAAAATGCATTGTTGTTGTTGTTGTTCTCAGCGCTCGTTGGCCAAATGCAACTGCCTTTCAAATTGCAGCACATAAAGTGTTGTCTGAAATTAACTTGCAGTTTTTATGGCCAGCACAGATAAAATTGTTGAAAAACTTCACACTTAATGTTCAGATATTAAATACTATCAGATAGCATTTAGTAAAATTAAATAACTATACATTAAGAGTTGTGTCAGTTAACTAAAAATTGCATATTATTTAAAAAGAGTGAAATTAAATAAATATTTATGTAGTTTTGAACTGAGTTAATTCAACATTATATAACTGATTATCTGAGCATATAACTGATTATTTCGAGTATATGTACTAAGTCAAAGTTAACTTTGATAAACATACGAGTCAAGCATTATCCACACCCTGAACTGTTGTCGAAAAATCAGTTTTAGTGGGCCAAGAAGTTGATTAGAATTGACAAGCTAAATAGATATGCAAATATGTGTGTACCACACTCAACCCATTTGCTCTGATCATAAAATGGGTGGGGAAGTGGCCCTGTACTATTCCCAATTGACTGCTGCAGTTGCGCACACTCAATCACTTAAGTAGCTGTCTGCTTTTTTTTTTTTTTTTTTTTTTGCGGCTGCTGCTGCCATAAACACTAATTTAAAAGCCCATCATAAAGATCAGAGTAAAATGCGTACACAGATTGCACATACACACATTTCCCTAAGTGAATGCAGCGAGCAGTGAAAATGTGTGTGCATTATTTTGCATATATAAATACACCAAAATGTAAACCAAAACCAAATCTAAATCCTATGGCAGCGCTGCTTATACGCCGCTTTGCCTGGGGCAAGTGCATTCGTTTGCCCCTTGGCGCACATGAGGCAGATTTAGAGTGCCAACTGTATTTTTTTTTTTTTTGCTCTCTTTTGTTTTTATCTTGTCGCGCTATGTGCTGCT